AACCGAGTTTCTCAAAAATATTTTTCTTCCAGTTAAATTTACTTGTATAAAAATAAATACTTTTCTCTTATTGTTATTATACATTTAGCTTAACCTCTTAAGATGATAATTTTAATTTAGCATATTTGTAAGTAGGAGTGTGGATTTGGTACATGTCATGTATATCAGTTCTATTTTCATTTTCGTCGCGAATATGCATTGCATTACTTCTTGATTGTTTTGACCTTTGATTTAACTGATGTAAGTAGACAAATTTGTAATTCTCTAAATTTAAGAAAGTATTATTTCGTTTAAATTATTTAAAATCCATTCAAGATTAAAAGTGATATGGGAAAAGAATTGAAAAATTTTAATTATTATTATGTGGTAAGAAAAAAGCAATTCCTATTTTTTCTTCTTCGATTTTATATTATAGATTCTTGCTTCTGCATTCTTCAAATATTTACGTGAACTTCTGTTTTTTTGCATTTTTTTCTTGGTCGCTTCATATTGCGTATCCCAACAAGAGTATTGTCATTAGAAATTATTCAATTTTTCTCTGCATAGTTTATTTATTTATGATATCAAAATCAAACAACTCAATTGATACCTTGACTTAGAAATAGCAAGTTTAATATTGTTTTTTTTTTCACGAAAAAAATAGGAATCGACCTTAGAACTGTAGAGTTCCCACAAAATCCCATTTTAATTATTTTTTTACGTTTTTAAAAAACATATTACGAATCTTTCCAGTAACATTGACCGTTTTCCTATTATTATTTGTTGAGTTTTAAAAATTTTTCGTTAAATACGAAATTGTCACCTTTCGTAAGTTATACCCTCAAAGAAAAAGCACAATTCGGCATAGGGTAGATTTTGCTTGTTAAGATATTCCCTACTTATTGGTAAAATTTTAAGAATATCCATGGATGTTGGTAGATCCAATAATAGAAACAATTCAAGGACACAGAGGAAAAACCCTGTCAGTCAAAAAAAGTAATTTTCGAGAAAACAACCATCTTAGTGTTTTTTCAACTCTGGAGGCTAAAAAAATAAACAATAAACGTATAGAAAACGTTTTAATTTATTTATGGACAATTTTGTTACAAACTATTTAAAAAACGGTCTGAGGTCAATTCTCTCCATCATCAATTAGGGGGTCGTCATCGTATTCGTCATCATTTTCTTCCTGTTGAATAGCGTCAGCAGTTAAATTTTGTTAAAAATCTTTGCTTCAGGGTTTTACAAATACTGGGATAAATGAAGAAGGTCGCGATATTTTGCAGCTGGTATTGGAAGTTTTCCATTTTACAAATTTTTTAACGGGGTAATTACTGCAGTGGCTGCACCTTGATTTTTTGCAATGAGGTTTTTTTCAAGGACTGAGAATGCATAACGGCCAAAAAAAGTAGGTTTATAGAACACAAGTCGTCCTTCAGTTGCCGAAATTTTTAACATACGAATCGATCTCGTGGGAAATGGACATTTTCGGGGATAAAGTGATGATAGGTAAGCAGTAAAATTTTAACTCAGCAGGAAGGTAAATTTTGTTGGCGTCTTTTACAGAATAGTGTGATTTTCTCCCTTTAAGAGATTTCAAATAAGTAAATACGTTTTGTTTGGTTTCTTGTGAAAGTTTGTGGGGCTTGTTGAATGTTTTTCACGACAGTCAGTGGGAGATTTACCAGCACTAAGCAGAGCACTCCTTATGTACCTAACCTTATTCTCACTAATACCATGAAGCCACATGAAAGCTTTTAAGCAGACCTGAACATCACATACAACATTGTCTTTTAACAAACGAACTCTATATGAAAATGAAGCTGCGTTTTATCTAGGATCTGCATTTCGAGGTAATGCAACACTGTAATGAGACCACTCAAATAAGAGTTCTACTTTTCTCTATCTCCCAACAGATTATAATCTCGAATGATTCGTTTCCGTCCCTCTTCTGGTATATTTGGAAAGTATTTAAGTCTTTTGCACAAACAATCCGGCCCAAGCTCGTGAGACGCTGCTCGCAAATCTCTCATAACATTCGTAACTCGACCTGTTGTTTTTCTTTTCTTACTCATTGGTTTTCTAAACGAGTCATCAGTTTCATTGCAACTGTCTGAGTAGTCAGTTTTCATTATTGTTAAACACAGGTACACAAAAAAACTGACAAATAACAGGCCCTCGACAATAGAAAGAAACAGCTTTGTTGCTGAACAACAACAAAATGACAAGTGTACAACACAAATCCCGGTAACGGATTACTACAATATTATTTGACTCACGGGGTTCTGCCATACACGCGCATTGACTGACGGGATTTTTTCCCAATGCCGCATATTTTGTAACGTGGAATTTAGTAGATCCACGGTGTTTTGTACAAAAGCTAGTAAATGTTTAAAAGCTATTCGTTTGAAGCCACTGGATAGCGTCATCAGCCCATTTCTTGAAAAAATTGACTAACGGGCTTTTTCCCCTGTGCCCTTCAATTTATCATTGTTTGAAATGAAAGAGAGGAGGTATTTTGAAATTAAGTCGTCTAATCTAGTCTAAACATAAATAAACACTTGTAATGGATACAGCTATTAATATTTACCAAATAATAAATTAATAAAATGAGAACCTGATCCAGTTTAAACATAAACACTTGTTACAGATACAGGTATTAATATTTACCAAATAAGAAAATAAAAACCAGATTTACTAATAGAAATTTTTAAAACCGAAACCAAAAAAAAACTCGACTATTAAAAACTAGAATGTTTAGATACAATACATTATTATTTACAAAATTATAAAATGAGAACCAGATCCAGTTTAAACGTAAATAAACACCTGTAATAGATACAGGTATCAATATTTACCAAATAATAAAATGAGAACCTGATTTGACTAATAGAAATATTTAATACCGGAACAAAAAAAAAAACTCGACCAATAAAAACTAGAGTATTTAGACACATTATTTACCAATAAATGATAAATTGAAAACCTGATTATACTGGAAATTTGTTATACCAACAACAAAAACAAAAACTCGATTGCTAACAAGGTTTAAATTGTATAATATGTATCACTGAAACGAGAATTTATTCACCCAATAATTGTTTACAAATTTATTATGTTGGTTCGCTTTTCTGTGGGTTCAGGAATTAAGTGAAGTACGTAGTTGAAGTAATTTTATTTAATTTATATAACTACAAAATAAACTCACTAAATAACAAATATCTCATTATTATAAATACGCTAATATTTATCGGCGACAGCGACAATAATATGGGTATTAATTACAAAAACAATTTTATATCTACTGTATATTCAAAGGGACCGAACAGTTAATATACACGAACATATGTTCTAGAGTTCAAGCGTAGGTTCGGATTTTGTACTTATTCTTGTGTGTAGGCTTTAAATCCTGTTTCTTCTTCGCTATTAGACAATGGCGTCTTTCAATATTTGGTAGCGTCCTCGCCCTAATCGTAATGTCTGCTCGTAGTCTACATCGCGCGGTCGATCGAAGAAACATTGGATGGTGAATCGGTGCAGAAACTCTTTCGGGGCTTCGTCCGAATATGTTCCATATTCTTGTTTCTTTTCTCCCAGTTTATTAATGTTATTATTATCTGACTCATTTTTTTTTTTCGAATCGAATCCTAGCATTGTTACCTTGTTTCATCTTTAGGCTTCTTCAAGGATGGGAATTTTTATTTTATTTGGTGGCAGGGTGCCACCGCCGTAAAGCTGGAGAATCAGAAGAGTTATTTCCGCATTGTTGGAGCCATGTGGAACAAGCCCGCTACTAAGTACAAGTTGCGTGGAAAAACGGTTCCTTTCAGATTGTTGGCTTTTGTTTTGATAAAACGCGTGGAGAATAGCTGTGCTGTGTCTTCACCTAGGGTCAGGTATTGTTGTGCAATGAGATTGGGAAACCACAGAAAACCAATCTCCCCCTGTCCTTGTGATATTTAATTCGACTCTTAAGGAATGTGTGTGGTGCTCACTCTTTATGAATGAGCGTGGTGGAGGTAAAGTGTATATGATAGGAGTGTGTGTGTATGGGTGGTATGTATTTCGGTGTGCATGTAGGTGTAGTGTTGTGTGTTTATGTAAGGAGTTGGGTGTAGGTTTGATTTATAAGGTTATTAAAGCATGAGGTGGTTATGGCATATCCATATAGTGTGTTGGATATTTGGTTGACGTATCGGATGGTATCGCTTTTCTTTTCAGGGAAGACGTTAAAAAGGATCATGGATATGAAGTGTATTAATGATTTCATATCGAAAAAGAGGTCATATGAAGGGATTTGTTTCGATGTGTATACTGGTTGGGTTTGATTATTGGTGAAAAGGCGGGATGGGGAACGTTACAATTTGGGCATTTGGGATCAGATATTGTGGGACACGCAGTAGACCTGTGCCCTAGTCCACAGAATGCACAAATAAATGATTTCTCTGGGCATTCGTTGTTGAGATGTCTGCTTTTTCAACATTTCGAGCAATACCTACTTCAATCGAATCGGAACGGAATTGCTAGATCTTGGGATCTCGCAATTTAGCCGTTTTCCCTCGATTTTGATACCGCTCGAATGTGCTTCGGTTGTGGATATTTTTGTGTTCAAAAAATGTATTAGTTATTACTAAATTATGCATCATATAGAAGTCTAGCATTCTTATGCCATTTTTATAATCCAGATGTCAGATTTTTATAATCTTATCTAAATTCACTTACTGTTTTAAAAAGACAATAAAAAATCAAAATTTCAGTATAGATTATTAGCTTGCTTGTATAAAAAAGTTTTTTTTTTCTAAATTGATTAATACCTTGTATATATTTCACATAGTAATGAAATCTGCATGATACATTTGCATTTGTTACAGGCTATTACCAAATAATCGTATTAACTCACATAATTAAACTGTCCTTGGTATCTTGTAACGGATGATGGTTAAACTTAATAACAAATCTATTGTTTATGTTACTATTGTTAATGTCATTAATTGTATCGCAATATTTTTTGTATTTTTTAGATTCAGTATGACTTGCAATATCAAAAAACTCCAGAAAAGGAGCTGAGCCCTTATCCCATTAGCGAGGATTATTTTAAGAAAAACAATCGAACCTTAGCGCCATTTAGAGTAGACCAGAGGTTAACTAGTGCTCAAAATGCCTTATTAAAGAGTGAAATGGACAAGCCGAAAAGTATTCTGTCGAATAGAAAGACGGGAAGCCCTAGAGGTAAGTGTGTATTAAATTAATATAAATATTTCATGATTTAGATTAAACATTTTTGAATCGTGAGTTTATTATTTCAGGTTTATTATCGTGAGTAAAGTTTATTTTGAGTAACTGACATTCAAAACATCCGGTCGCTTCAAGCGTTGTTTCTGAGAGAACGGTTCATTCTACCGAAAAAGTACTAATAAACTTTTTTTCTTTAAAATTATCTCAGCCACATTTTTTATTTGAGACATTTTTTTCTACGATCTACACATTCTTGGTAAAGAGTACATCAACACAGTAGTTTTTATGACTATCCTGAAACTCGAAGCTATCAATAAATCTGGTTGTGTGTTAAATAACCATACAAATATGACTAGTACTGTTCTTGCGGAGACGGTACGGTACTTCGAATGAACCGAGGCATGATGACACTACCAAAAAGATTAATACGTTTATCCCATCTAAGGAACATAACATCTCGTACTCCAGTAGGTATTTAATATAATTTACCAGTGGATCAAGGACTGCTCAAGGAACCAGATCAGGAGTCTTTGGGCAGACAACAAAATAGAACTGAGGCTTGGTCAACACGCTACAATATTCCAGCCTGAAGTTTTTGTTTTGGTAGCCTATACCGATGAAATAATAAGAGCTGGTTACATAACGAGGAGAAATAATATTTGCACTGATAGCCAGGAGGCTATATTGGCGAAAAGAACCCAGTTATCAAATCAAAACTGGTAATTGCAAAGATCTCCTTAAGAAACTGATACAAGATAACAGGGTGTCTTTATAATGTGGGTCCAGAACCATTTTAATGACGCTACAAGATATGAGGTTGCTGTAAAACAAATGGAGGTACATGCAAGAGCAAATCTCAACAAAGATACTAATAAACAATATACGTTAAAGACCATCCAGTGACTAGATAAGAATCAGTAAGGCTGAGTTAAAACGGTCTAGAAATGATGATTGGACACTCTCAACTGAAGTGAAAGTTCAGAAAGAAGAAATTGCCTTATCTGTGATTATCTTAGTGATCTGATGTGGTCATACATTGCCAACCAAAAATTGAACGGGAAAACATCATACCGGGACTGGGACTAGTTTATAATATTCACAACAATTTATTATCCTTACTTGACAAAAAAAAATACAAAAATGATGGTGCAAAGTGTTAATGTACTACCACATTGACCCATCTAATTCTATTCACAGCAGCTCGAAATAGATCAGTTCAGTCCACTTCCTAATATTGACCAGCCAAGATATACGACTGTATATCCTGGCTGGAAATAAGCCAATTTTCTGTTTTTTACGGTGTTAATAATTTCTTTGTCTTTTCTTAGCCTTTAGGAATAGTTATGTTACTTGTGTGGTATATATATATATATATATATATATATATATATATATATATATATATATATATATATATATATATATATATTGTTATGATATGTAAAATCAAGAAAATATCGGTTTGTTTAAAAATATTTCAAAGTTCAAATAATTAAAATAATTCAGATAAGTCGAATTAATAAACGACAAACATTTCGAAGAATGAAAGTCCTTTTATCTTTGGATTACCTATATTGAACAAAAACGTAAGCTATTCACAAATTATTTTCTTTGTTAAAATATATTTGAATGACGTGAGCGAACTTAAGACAATTGAACCGGGTTTTCCAAATACATTAGTGCAGTGATTAGGACAATAGAATAGATTTTAGAAAGATATGTTTTTGTTAGTTTTTAAGAATTGGTAGGAAAATATTATTTTGTAAACAAGTTTTAGGAAATTTTATAATTGTAGGTAAAAAATTGTGTGTTATCGAAATGAAGAAATGGGAGAGGTATGACGCGTTTTGATTGGATGAGATTGGAAAAGGTGGGAGGTTTGGTTTGAGAATGAGACTTTAGTTAGTTTTTGAAAAAAAAATATAGGCAGTTGGTTTCCAAGGGTAGAAGGCGAACGGCCGTTGTTCTCGGGTAGTTTCCCAGAGGTAGGAAGCAGTAGCAGTGAAAGTTTGTGAGTTTTCGTGTAGTTAGTGTATCTGATAGAAGCTGATCCAGTAAAAGATTGTAAGTTATATTTTCTACTTATATTCCAAGAGTCGCTGTTCAGGCCAAAGAGAGATTCAGCTTATCGTAAAGAAAAGATATTCCAAGAGTCATTTTTCACTCAGGCCAACGAGAGATTCAGTTTATTGAGAGAAGAAGAAGCTAGCATAATTTGAACGATTCGTGCATTTGAAGGAGATCATTAAGGACGATAAACTTGCAATAATTTGTTCTAAGATTGCTGATTACCTAGGGAGCGGCTGAGAGTAGATACTATAGTCTACAAGGAACAAGGATTTGGACCACTCATCATCAGAGAGAGATAGTTTTGTTTTTGCAGTTTTTCTTTTATTGATAACACAATTTTTACACTTAATTTAGAAAGGATATAAATATTTTGATTAGGAGATTTAGAATATTATTTGGGATTTTGAGATTTCAACTAATATTGTTTGTACCATTGATTTCGAAGGTTCACGTACGTAGAACAAAATTTTGAGAATCATATGAGATTTTGTTTATTGAAAATTTTTGAGTGTAAATTTTATTTCATTATTTTATTTCAATATATAATGTTAGATCCTATATGTTTTTTACTATTCCGGTATTCTTTGGACCTTACCTTTCACATGTAATAGCATAGATATTGAAGCACGAATAGAACCCTGAGATAAGAGAATTATAAAGTGTGATAGAATCATAGTCATATCATTTAAATAATTTTAATTAATTAATTAATTAATTAGCTAATTAATTGCTTGGCGCACTAAGACTTGCTTGGAGCCCTTGCGCACTGTCTGCCAACAACACAACACTGTATCGTCTGCATATCTAATATTATTTATAAGTTGGTCATTAACAGCAATCCCATCTTTTGATTCGTGCTAGGCCTCTCTGAAGATGTTTTTTAGAGTATATGTTAAATAATGCCTGTGACAATATACAACCCTGTCTAACTCTTTTTTCGACTGTGAAGATCTCGGACAGTTCATTTTCTAACATGACGTCACTGTTTGCGACTCAAACACTCAGCCAAAAATGCTTGATTACCAGAAAAAAAGTATATCTCTGTTTCATCGACTACCAGAAGGCTTTTGATGGAGTCCAGCATGAAAAATTGAAAAGATCTCCGCGTAACTCAAAACCTTGATTGAAACCAATTGAAACCTTGATTGTTTTTTAAATTTATTCCATAGTTCATCTGGATCTTCTGATTGTTATCCTTTTGTTGTTATACGGATGTTACATTCTTTTTTAATGTTATCTTTTATGCTTATACCGCCAAAGTTAAGAACATTAAAATGATGAATTGGTTGTTCATGTCAACAGGGTTAGAGAAATAAATATTAGACTTACTCACAATCTAAAATCATCGTTCATCGTCAAGTCTCCGGAAGGTTTCTTAAAATGTTAGAAATTATAAATTATAACTAAACGTTTTCTATATGTTATACATATTATGTTATGTTATAAATAGTGCCAATATTACGTATGCACGGTTTCAAAGAGTATATAAATAGTACTTACAAGCCGGTTTAAGGAATACAGTTACGTAGGTGTATACTAAACGCTCATTTATGCTATATTGCTATCTGAAGGACATCGACTTCATTACAAATCGAAAATTGTGTGATTATACCGGCAATCACTCGGTGATCTCGTTATATCTAGCTACCCTCAGTTTAGCCTGCAGACCAATGCAGTTGCCCTGGGTGTGGCACGTGGATCCATAAGTGAGAGTAGGTCTAGAGTCTAGAGTAGGTCTAGAGTCTAGAGTAGGTCCTAGTCCTTATGAGGACTAGTTAAAACAAGAATGCTAGGAACAAAATACAAACTCGGGAAAAACAACATATAGGATATTTTTTTCTTAAAAGATATTTAAAAAATTAGATTTATTTGCCAGATTCATATTAGGTCTTATATTTTTTTTAGAGAGGCTGATGTCTGACTTGTATAGTTCCAGTTTTACAGACGGTTTTGTTTATAGAGAATCACGCTCCGACGAATTAGAGAGGGTAAGTCGTAGTCGTAGGTCTTCTCTCTTAATTTTAAAAAGGTAAAATTTAGTGGTGGTGCTTTTCAGGAGCGACTTAAAAGGGACGCGTACCAGCGAGAGTTGCGACTTCAGATCGAAGAGAAAAGAAGATTGCAACAGATGCGAGAAGAACAGGAAAGACGAGAACGGGATTTGGAGAATAAGCGGTTGGAACAGCAGTTGCTGCGAATGCAAGAGGAGAGGATGATTGAGGACCAGTTAAGTGTTCATAGACAGGAACAGGTAATAATGTAACGAATTTACTTTAATATTACTCTAATGTTTATGTATTTCCCATTTTTCTATATTTTAGAACTATTTGTTCCCTGTTTATTATTCTGAAAATTAGACCTCTATTAATTCCATTTTGTTATCCCATTGCATTTATTTTCTCAATAATTGCTCCTTTTATCTTATTGCCTACGTTTCTATTATCCTGACTGTGGTATACTGATGAATTCATTTGTTGTTTCAGATGCGGAGGCATAGCGAGGATCTGTTGCGACGAAAGCAGGAGCTCCAATCAACCAGGTACAGTTTTCGCAAACACGCCAATTCCGAATGCAGTATTCGTAATAATCCTACCGATATTTCTTCCAAATCACTCTCGCATTATTCGCCGCCAGTATCTAGACGTAATCCATATTCTTACAACATTCCATCCACATCTGTGTTCCCGGAATCATCATCGGCAAGGTAAATAGTGTGATTAATTAGTACCGTGTACCGTGACATCTGTTATTGCGAACGGTGATTAGAAGGAATAATTATTTGGTGTATTTTGTGTACAATTTGTCTAATCATATTTTTCCTTTTAAAAGTTTTAAATGTTTAAATCGTATAAATGGGTGAATGTGAACGATTTTATTGTAGATTTTTTTGTTATTTTGATTGTCAGCTGTTAATGGTGCAATATATGGGGTGCAATACATACTTTTTTTACTTTCCAGTTTAATAATTTCACAATATACAAGTTTAATTGAAATACACATTAATAAACCAAGATTCGTAGCTATTTAGGTTTTATGATTACATTAACAGTGGTTTTACCACCGAACAACATTATTAGCGAAACAAATAAGAATAATAGTTTTTTGTCTGGGTTAATCTTGATCTGTGTTTACAAATAACTGCATGTTCCGTATGGTTGTAAATTCTATGAGCTTGCATTGAGTTAAAAACTCTTTTTTAACAACGTACTATATTTCAAATTAATGAAAAAAGGATCGATGCAGTTAGTTTCATAGAGAAACAACTGCTAAATTAATTGATGCCATGCTAAGTATTGTTTACTTTAATTTCAGCTTTTAGAAAGTAGTATAATGTAACCTATACAATATTTTTTGGTTTTAGATATAATCCAAGCCGTTTCGACTGTTACAGTCGACGTGACACGTTGAAACGCATGGACTCTCTTAATTCATATGAACCTCCCACCAGACATACCACGTTCAATCGTTTTGATTCGTTAAGTAGAATAGATTCTTTGGCGAATCGCATGGAATCTATGAGTCTGAGGGACGGTTACAGCGGGGATGTACAACGTAGACATAGTGCCACACATCAGGATCTTAGTCTGTTGAGAAGAAGTCCAAGGTAATTGTTTTACAGTTTGACGTTTTCAAATAGATTATAAAATACGAAGTTATTTTAATCTGTAGTTGTGTATTAACTGGCACTTTGTCTCAGCTAATTTGACAGGTGACTTAATTGGACTCGATCTTGTAGGCAACCATCAATGTTTGGAGTTGAATAGTGAGAGTGGTGTTGTACCCTCAAATTGATATTAAATTCTGGTTTTTGTGTGGTTATGTATTATATGGTTATGTTTTATGTAATATATGTAATTGTAGAAGACGTGTTCCCGACTTTCTATTAATCAATTAATGCTGATATATTCTTGTTGCTGACTTTTTGTACTATTGGCAACCCGAACCTGCTAAATTCTACATTCTACTCCGTGTTCCTTGTCCCAGTCATGTTTGTGATTTATGGAAATCTCTGTTTTTGATGTATGATTCATGCTTGTTTATCCTGTCACTTGATCTTGCAGTTTCTCCCACATAAAAATTGCTGCTAGGCATTTTGTAGATGCTGTTCTTTATCTCTCTTGTGTTGTCAGGTTTGGTTTTGGACAGAATAGATATCAGTGCATTGGTTCCCTATCTTTTTTAAATTCTCTGACAAACCCTTCAAATCCCTTCTTGTGGACATTTATGGATTGCTTTTGGTGTTGTGTTGTTTCCTTTCTTCAATCCTCTGAAATTTCCCATTTATAAATGGCAATGGGTAATCATTTTTTTGTCAATACCTTTGTTAGGAGGATTTTTTCTTCCTAAAAAGCATTTTTATTGAGCAGGTGTTTCGGACTCTATCACATAATGGTTTGAAAATTCCCTTATTGAAGTTTAGGTTGTGATGTGGGTGATAATTTAAATATCTGTTGGTGTGGGTTGATTTTCTGTAGGAAAGGTAGTTAATTTTAATTTTCTTTTCCCATAGTGAATTGATTGATTCTTCTTTACAGTTAATGTATATCAAAAATTTATTTAGTGCTTCTGGTCCATGAAATCAAATGGAGAACACATTATCTACATATATTCACAGTAAAATATTCAATTCACACTATGCTTTCATGTCTCTAGCACTTTTTCTTAAAGAAAAAGAAAAGTCATAATAATACGAAAAGAAAAAGACATATTAACCCCAAATTCTATGAACTTCTTCCTTACATCTTATAAACAATATTTAAGACTTTTCCTTCTATCAGCAAATGGGAAGGAAGGATATGGAAAACTACGGCCACTTATCCATTCCCATGGTGCCTTACAGAGGGACTTCGACCAGTCTATTCGAAGTGCCCTCGGCGTATTTTCCATCTTCGATGGATAATTAACATTTCTCAGATGGAAATAAAATAAAACAACGTTTAGGAAGTGGACAAAGTCCAGCCACAGAGTCTTAGTATTCGGAGAACCAGAGCAGAGCCCCAGCAACCGACTCCTAGGGTACAGGAGACCCTATTTGGGAGCCGAGACCAGACTGACAGAGTTGAAAATGTCGCATATTTATATGTTTCTATATGACATTTTCAGATCACTCGGCCAATAGAAAAATAGGAGATGTTGTAAGACGGGGCAATGCGCATCGGGGTACCATTAGTCCACGAATAAGCCCCCCGGTAACACTTCATGTCGTCGCAGCAAGAGTGGACCTATGAAATTATCCATTCTGTTGTACGCTCTGCCTAGGGGCTTCATGTATAACGTATGAAGTAGCCCTAAGCATTTATCCAATTTATCTTCTGGATGTTGGTATTTATTTTACAAGTCTTGATAAAGACTGTGTGCGAAGATTGTGCTATTATTTATACACAATCTCCGAATCGAGGTAGTCGGGACGATGCGCATCAACTGCATGCTATTGATCAACAGACTAGGGCACTTGATGACATTCAAGAGTTATCGTACAGACAAACCGTCGGATAACTACTCGATCTAGTCCTTAATAAATTATTTTTTATTACTAATAGAATTTTTAGAAGTATTAATATTTTTATACGCTTTTGTTAAATTTTGAACGGTACTATGTTTACAGATTACAAAGAAGAAGTAATTCCAGCAGGTTTGACGATAATCTGCCCGTGCCGTTATTAAAAGCGCACTCGCCCGTTGCCAAAGAATTAAAGAATTCTGTACCGTTCAACAGTGCGAGACAGGGTTCAGATGCAATTAGACGACTGGAAGATAGGTGGCAGGTGAGTACTTTGATAATATCAGATAAAAGTAATAAAATGGTTTACAAGTTCTTTGAAAATTAGATTCATATATGACTCGAAGGATTGAGCACTGTATGACTCGGCTAATGTTTTGCCGTTAAAAGTTTCAAAAACTATCACGTTACTAGCCAAAATGAGCAATTTTGGCTAGTAACGTTTTGGGAGGGGAACTTCAAACTTGGGAAGGGGAACTTCCAATGAAATAACAACCAAAAGACATAAAAAACATAAACCCAAACAACAATAAGAGGTTTTTTTTTTAATTTTGGACCATCTTGGGGGAAAATTTCCCTATTCCCTCCCGTGTATCCGCCCCTGATGTAGACTGATTTTCTAGTTCCATAAGGCAGGCCAGTTCTTCAAGTTTTCGTGTGATGTGTATATTTTTATATTCATAATCCTAGTTTCTTTTAAAACAGTTTCATTTTTTAATATGTTCATGTTATTTATATAGATTTTTAATCCTTTCAGTACAATATTATATTCCTGCTTTTGCCAAATCTTTCCAAATTTGTTTTCAATTTTTTTTTATCTTCTGGTGTATTTCTTTATTTTCCTTTAGTATTTTAATCTAGTTCGCCTTCAGGGCCTTGTTTTCGTTAATGATTGATTGAATCTTTGTTCCCTTTCTTTGTATTTATCATATCAATTATTTTATTATTATTTTATATATCTTTTACCATTATTAATATATTATCTTTTATTATCTGTATCAATTATTCCCCTTTAAAAATAATGAAAAGGTTACCAACGTGAGTCCACAATACTAATGTATAGGAAATGAGTTAATACTCACAATCTTCTTCTTCTTCTCGTGCCACTTTTAGCGGAGATTGGAAATCATCATGGCCACTGCGACTTTGTTAGCAGCGCGCCTAAAAAGTTCAATCGAACTACATCCGAACCATTCACGTAGATTACGAAGCCACTATATTTTTCTTCTTCCCACACTTCTTTTGCCCTGCATGATGTTTCTTAAAAGTTCGTACTTTTCACCTCTCACAATGTGCCCCAAGTAGTCCATCTTTCTAGTTTTTATCTCATTTAGTATTTCGCATCTTTTGTCTAAAGTTTGGAGTACTTGCGTGTTAGTGACGCAGTCCATCCATGATATTCTGAGAATGCGCCTATAGCACCACATCTCGAAAGCTTCGATGTTTTTTATGGTCAACTGTTTTAGTGTCCAAGCCTCAACTCCATATAACAGGGTAGAACAGACATAACACCGCATCATTCGTATTCGTAACTTTATATTGATATCACGATTGCAAAAGAGTTTGCGCATTCTATTAAAGACTGATCTAGCAATTTCTATTATACATCTAATCTCTTTTGTTTGATCAGTATCGTCTGTGATCCAAGCACCTAGATATTTATAACAGGGTACACGCTCAATCGTTGTATTGTCTATTACAAGATTAGCTCTGATGTTCTTTGATTTCGTGATTACCATAAATTTAGTTTTTTTCAAATTAATTTTCAAGCCGTAACTGTTACAGTATATATTGAGATTTTGAACGAGATGTTGTAGTTCTACTAGCGTTCCCGTTAGGAGAACTGTATCGTCAGCATGCCTTATATTGTTGATCGTCTCACTATTTATTATCAGACCAAGATCTTCCTCGAGTGCTTGTTCACAGATAGCTTCACTATACAGATTAAATAAAAGTGGCGATAAGATACATCCCTGCCGGACTCCTCGACGGATTTGAATTTCTTCTGTTAGTCTGCCCTCAACCTTGACATTTGCTGTTTGATTCCAATATAGATTGCATATAATTCGAATATCTCGGCTGTCTATATTTTTCTTTATTAGAACTTGTCTTAGTGGTTCATGTTGTACTTTGTCAAAGGCCTTTTTGAAATCAATAAAGCAGGCGTAAATTTCTTGGTTCATGTCTAAGCATCTCTGTGAGAGAACGTTCATTGCAAACAGAGCCTCCCTTGTACCCAGCCCTTTTCTGAATCTTATCTGAGTGTTACTGATGTCTACGTCTAATTTCCTATAGATCCTATTATGGATTATTTTTAAGAACAGTTTTAGAGCATGATCCATCAAAGCTATCGTACGATATTCGTTGCATTCCTTTGTATTTGCCTTTTTTGGCAGTAGTATAAAGGTCGAACGGAGCCATTCCCTAGGTATTATTCCAGTTCTATATATTGTGTTAAATAGATCTAGGAGTATTTTAATAGATTCATCGTCCATAAATTTGAGCAGTTCTACGGGAATTTCATCAGGACCGGGGGCCTTACCACTTTTTGCTTGTTTGATTGCATATTCTATTTCTTCTCTGATTATATCAGGCCCTGTATCATATGTATATTCGTTTGAGATTTCTTGTCTATCTTTGTCATCAAACAGTTGTGATATGTATTCTGTCCATCGGTTCATTTTTTGTTGTAAGTCTGTTATAATTATACCATCTGTATCTTTGATCTGTCCTGTCTGTGTTGTTCTTCTCCTTCCTGTCATTTCTTTAATCTTTTTGTGTACATTAAAAAAGTCATATTTTCGCTCCAATTGTTCCAACTCCTGGCATTGCTCGCTTAGCCCATCTTTCTCTAGCTTCTCTTATTTTCTTTTTTATCAGTTTATCTGTTTCTTTGTATCTTATCGGATTATTTGTTTTGTGTACCCTTCTTTCACGCATCAACTGTAGTATTTCCTCATTCATCCATTCTTTATGTTTCCTTTCTTTCGGTGTTAAATTTTCTCTCCCTGCCAACATTACGGCATGTTTAATATTCTCCCAGTTTTGGTGTATGTTATCAGTATTTCTATTCAGTTTCTCTATATTTTGTAAATTTTCTTTGATGTTCACTATTGTTTTCTCTTTTATATGTTGTTCATTTAGTCTTCTCACGTCAATTTGTTTCTGAATGTGTTTTTTATTGATCTTTAGTTTTCACTCACAATCTGGTGTAGTTTTTATTGTGGTTAAATTTAGAAACCGTTAGCCCAAACGTAACAACAATAAAAACTGTTTAAGATTGTGAGTATTGACTCATTTCCTATACATTAGTTTTCTCCTTTTGTTTATTTCATTGGCTTTGTTTTCATCTTCTTGTTCCGTATGTTACCCTCTTCAGTTCATTTTTTGCTTAGCTTAGTTTCGTGTCTATGTTCCCTATTACAGTTTATCCAATTTTGTAGCCAGTTTCTTAATTTTTTTAAACCCTACAACGTCACATCTAATTCGAATAGAATTCCGTCTCCTAATTGACCTTATCAGTTCCTTCGTGTGGTCTAGACTTTGTCGATTGGTCTGAATCAATATTGGAATCTAGTAGTTCTGAAATCTACATTCTGTTTTACTGCGGACTCTTCGCTTTACAATTAAAGTTGATTGGCTATTGTTGGATTTCGATAGCCTCTCCGAACGTCCGTGATTTCCGTGTAATGTACTAAGTACCTGTGTTTTTTTTTTTCAAATAAAATTTGGCTGTTGTCTTGTGTTCTTAGACACAATTCTCTTGGATCTTTGGCCGACATTAAACTTTTTTATCGTGTCCTTATTTTGAATATGGACTAATTAATACCAGCCGTAACGGTCATATGCCAGAATTCATATTTAAATTATAATGCCAAAAGATTATCTTTCGAATAAAGCCAATTTTATGTCAATTAATAAAAATCATCTTTGTTTTATTCCATTTCAAACATCTATACCTCTAAAAAAACACCCTTGACTTACTATCTAGCAAATTCCATATTTATTTTATCATCATCATATCTTGTGATTGACTTTTTTGAATATATAGGTCACGTGAAGTACCTAGGAACATATCTGTTAAAATATATAGAAAAAGTATTGCGATAGAATGGATGTGCTCCAAAAGTCGTAAAACTGTCCATCACAGAGTCTACATCTTTGTGTTCTAGCCACTCTAGGTCTATTGTCGCGCTACTCAGCCAAAGATACGCTGAAGCAGAATTTCGAAGACAAACAAACTGGTCAGCTACTTAATTTACCACTTGCTGCCTTCTTCATGTACCATCTTCTCTACAAAGATCTTCCACTACTAAAACCCTGTTGTTTATCTACTAAGCTTATCCTCTGATTTATTAGCACTTGTAAAATTTTAGTTGTAGGTTTTAGCGTAGTATTTAAAAAGTTTATACCCCTAGTTTTCTGGCTGTTTATTATTTTCTTTTTTGAATAGTCGAAACCATTCATACCATAATATAAAGGCCTTGGGATGTCTCTACTACACAGAACTTTCTTCATTTCGTTGAATGCACTTCTTGTTTGTCCTATTCTTGACCTAACTTCTTCCGTGTACTCATTATTTTCGTTATTTATAGCTATCAGATATTTATATCTCTCTGTACCTGTAGAGTATGGAGGGCGAGTTAAGTTTCACAGCATTTAGGCCACAATTGACCCATTGTGCTTCCTTCCAGGGAGCTGTCGCCCTTAGTTCATTGTACATCCTTCCATTTCTAGATAGGTGGACAAGTTACCAGGAAACATCTTTCTTATGTAGACAGGTGTGGGCCAGGACCCACCGAACGCGTACTCTCGTATTAACGATAACTCCGAGCATTCACATAGGACATGCTCTACAGTTTCGTCTTCTCGTTCACACTTCCTACATAGAGATGTGTCTGCTAGCCCCAGTGTGTGGAGGTGTTTGCTTAGTTGACAATGACCAGTTAAAAAACCAACTGTCAAGCTTAGGTTTTTCCTGGTCATTCCCAAATACTTCTTTGATGTTGACTCTTCAAGTTTACTTAGTGTTACCCTGGCAAGTTTACATCTTTCTTGTCCTTCTTCCCATCTTTTTACGGTTTGCGTATGGGAGTGACATTTGACAATTTCCGCGATTGTTGTAGTTAACCAACCAAAAAGATCCCCAGGTTCTAAGAGTCTTAGGCCTACCGCCTTCCTAGCCAATTGGTCAGCAATGCTGTTGCCTTTATTCCGATTGTGTCCTTTAACTCTCCGCAGAATGATGGTATTACCATCCGAACCTTGAGTTAGTGACTCGTGACACTCCATTACTAACCCTGATGTGAGACGTGGTCTATTCAAGGTTGGTAGCGCTTGTCTGCTAACTGTGCAGATCATTATACCCTACTATACCTTTTTGGGTTATCTCTTTTGCTGCTATGGAGATACCAGCTGGTATTGTTGTCCATACCCCACTTTATTCTTAGGTTCAGTGATCTAGAATATATCCCGCATCCTCAGCCTTCTTTCATTTTGGAGCCATCGGTGTATGTGCAATAGGCATTTGCCACGTTTGTCTCCCTATACTGTCTTGTTTCGATTTTGTAGGGTTTGTTAAAGACAAACTTTGGTTGAATTGAGTCGCAGCCTGCCTGTAGCAGTGGTAGCGCATCCAGCTCTCTCCGCCAGAAACGAGTTCTCAATTGTCCCATTCCTACATCAAGGTTTGCACCAGCTGAGCGCAGTCGCATCATTGTCACTAGCGCCACCTATTTGGCATATATATCTAGAGATATATATGCCACCCCGATAATTATTTTTTTGAGCTTTATTTGCTCACCGTATATTCTTAGACTCACTTGAGGTTGTTGTCTCTGTGTGATTCCCATTTACCACATTATTAATTTACCGCTACGAAGAGGAAAAAGCCGTATTTGTTGATACAACAAAACTAAATTATCACTGAAGACTTACTATTTTCTACTAATGGATTTTATTTTAAGCATAGCTTTCTTATCGCGAGCTACGGTCGAATCGGTGGATCGCACGAGTTGTGAAAAAAATAAAACCGACTGTAGCGGTTGTAGATCTTGCGACCACACACTACAAGGAGTAGTAAACGCAGTCCCGTGCGTCTTTATAATTAAAATAATATAAAAATAAAATTCAAATCGAATAAAATAAAACAAAATAAAATAAATTAAATCGCTCCGTGCTTAGAGGATAAGAAAGCTGTGTTTCCCTTCCTCGGTCACTCCCGGAGTGCCACATCCTATTTTTTGTTTAATTTTGTTTGTTTTATTTTTAAAATATTGTCCAAGACCGAAACGTTCTTTATTTTTCGTTGGTGGGTTTCAGATTCCCGCCGTTCAAAAAAATATCCTGAATCATACGGATTCTCTAGGTGGCCAAAACCGAAGTATTTTAACACAGCTTGGTGCGATTCGAATGCAGCTTCAGCAAGAACAATTACGGATGGACGAATCTTTGAGGAGACGAGGTATTTCACAATCTAAGGCTGTTGATTTTCTTTGAAAATATTAAATTTAATAACCAAAAAAAGTTTACATCGAGTTAATTAAAAGTTTATAATAGTTATTTTATATATTGTTAGAATTTGTCTTTATATTTATATTCATTGAATAGATAGACATGTTGAACAGTGTTTTTATTTACCCTATTCCCTAATCTCGTATACTATGTATGTCACAAGGTCACTGAAGAACAATAAAGTGCCTGACACTGATGGAATATATGTAGAACTAATAAAGAATGATGGATATGCGTTATGGAAGCGTATCTATAAATTAATCTGACTCATATGGACACTGGAAGTCATTCCAGAAAAGTGAAAATTGGGATACTTGCTATCTACAATAAGGGGGTTAAAAAAGTGCGAAAATGAATGTCGTCTACAAGATATTATCTAATTGTTAACGTACATGCAACATCTGTTCTCTAATATACTGTATTCATCTTTTCTAGTGTCGATAATACACTAGATTGTCAGAATACTTCGAAAATATAATTGGTGAATATAAAAATGGATTCAGACGAAATAGAGCCAATACAGAAAACATATTCATACTTAAAACAATACAAAAGAAGGCTTAATAATACGACATAGAACTATATAATATGTATATAGACTTAAAACAAGCTTTTGATAGTGTGAAAAGAGACAAAATGCTTTAAGGGTACATTTATAATGGTCTAACCATAGCTTCACCATCTCTAAGTCAACATCATTTTTTGCCAAAGTCTACAATGCAGGTAGGTATAATCGGCATACATTTGTAGTGTACCTCCTAATGGCAATGTTGAAATTGAATTAGCCTAAAACAGGAACATCGTTAGTCCAAGTATCGACCCTTGGGGAACCCCACACTCAATAAAAATTGACTATTCACTCTGTTAACAAAGGTAAGTTATGTTCTACCACTTATGCCTATATAATCGTACCACAAAGTTGGTCTAATAAATAACTATAAACATTTAAAAAGAACAATTTAATAATAAATAAAAACAATACAACAAATCTTTGGCCAGATTATCACAAATTCAGGTACAAAAACAAAAAATATCTACATTCGATGAAACTACAAATACCTACTATAAATTATTTAATCTTTCTTCTCGTGGAGTAACTCTGAAAAAAAAATTAATATTATGAAGTTATCGAGTTAAGTAGACAAACATATAATCAAGTTATTAACATTGATTATTATTAAGAACTTGCACTGACAGCAAACTATATATCTGGTAAAAAAGTTGAGCAGTTATCCATCTTACCTTCTTCCTCGTCTTCATCTGCATCTAGAATATTAGCACAGCAGCAAGAATACAGTATAAACGAAAGAAAACCAAGAGGTAATCCAAGCAAAACTGTTGTCAATACTGGATTGCCACGCCATCTATCGGATAAGGTAGTCCTCGCTTTAAAATAAGATCTGTACATTCTTACAGCCAAGTCATTACCGCCGTATATCTACAAATACAATATTATTGTTATGTTAACTTATGTCTTAGATAACGTTGAGGTTTTGGTTATCGAGGTGCATAAAACTCAAAAAACTTGTCAGGTATAGCTCGGCTACAGATAATTGAGAAATTTAAAGAGATAGACCAATTGATGTACAAGTGGTACCGAACAAAATATATCCATGTGCTTAGATCAAATGACATCTGTTTAAATAGTTCCTCTTTAAGGCCGATCCTCGAGACTCTGGGCATAGCTAAATTCCAATGTAAAAGTTTATATCAAATAACGCAAAAACTATGGCAGATATTGAGATGATTCTTTTTTTTTTATATGAAAGGTCTTAAAAAGTTCTAGTGCACTATTTGATTGTAAATTAATAAATTGTTTAAACAATTTTTTTTTTCAAATACTTTTGGTTAAAATAATCGAATAACTAGAGAATTTGACCCACTTTCCGAATCTGTTTTTATTTTTAACATAAAGTGTAACACAAAGCAGCTATTTGGTATAAACTTTTAAAAAATTTCAAAGTTCTGCTAAATGTAATTCTCTATCCGTCAGCACAAGCTGTCCTTGTCGGTAGCTTCTGGATTCTCGCCAGCAGGTAGGTAAGACCCTCGGAAGAGGATAAATAATGTTGAATAACATTATTAGGGCTTATTCCGACTTTTAACAAACCAGTGTGTTTATTGTATTTAAAATAGGAAATTTTATATAAATAAGCAGTAAGTACGTACCTATAATTTGATTAAACTTTTATATGAATAGAAATATTATCTGTTAATTTGTGACATTTTCCTTCTAAATATGTATACTGTTTTTATAATAATACTATTGTTTCAGTATTAACTTATATAATAATAATTTATTACATAGAAACAGTGTAGAATTTTGGTCAATAAGCACTACATTTTTTTTTCTATTTCAATCAGAATTATAATTTTCTTTTCTTCTTTACATGAGCTCAGAGTAATAACCAAATATTTTGCAGTATTTAAATATGAAATTTAATTATATATATATATATATATATATATATATATATATATATATATATATATATATTTATTGGTCAGCAACCTACCAATCGTAAAAACAAATAAGTACTGCTCAAAGGAACAATGTACAGCCTCGGAACCGGATTGATACTATGAAGACGACTACGGCAAGAAGTAAGGACAAGCGAAAACCATCCAAAACCCAGATGAGAATTACTACTTAGAATATCAGATTACTCAACTCAAGGGACCAAGAAATAGCCCAAGTGCTGAAAGAAAAAGAAATAGACATTTGTGCTCTACATGAAACAAAAAATAAAGGAAAAGGTCAATCAAAATTAGGTGAATACATACTAATCTACAGTGGAGTAGCAAAAGAATACAGGGCCAAAGAAGGTGTAGCCTTACTAATACACCAAAGGTATTAAAATTACATTAACCTGAACATTATCGGAGTATACATTGTAACTTTACAGGATCCTCTACGAATTTTCAAAAATGTAGTTCAAATGGTAACTAGGAAGAACCTACAAATCCATTCTGTGATCCATATCGAACAACCAATTTCAAACTAATAAAATTTTCTATATCTCCATGTCCTCTCAATGGATTTTGATCATTCTTTTTTTAATTTGTATGTAATTTCTACGTACATTACAAATATGTAATTTGTTTATATATAAATTAATTAATAAATAGTTTAGTCTGTTTAAACAATTCATGCAAAAATATTTTCTTCCAAAAATCTATTTTTTTTTTAATACTAGTATTTTAATACTAGTACTTGGTGTAATAAACCACAACCTATCAAATTCAATATTAAAAATCAAAATTGGAAATGATAGCGTGACTAAAGTATTCCTTCCTTCAAGAAATTTTAAAAAGAACTGATTCCTATTACTATTCAGTGCAAGGCCAGTTATTTTGTTATTTATATCGAATAGAGAATACTGTTAGTTTGCGGTATGGACCCCAAAAAATATTTTATTCGAAAAGATTGATAAAGATATGGAACTGTGGGAAAATATGCTACAAAAATTGCAAGATTTTTATTATAATTTTTATTTGGACACCTTCTGAAGAAATATTAGACATAATTCTATAACATATTTTATACTTATATAGTTTCATTTTATCAATTTTAATGATCGTGATACTAATCAAATTTTTATGATATATAATTATAAACTTTTTTTATAATTTTTATTTTCCGTAAACTTTAATCTACGTTAAAATTCAGACAGCCAATTTTTCCGTAAAAAAGTAACAAATAAATTTGTATGTACCTTTGTTACATTGTAAATTTATGAATAGATTATATTACTTTGATTTGTTATTCTATTTACTCAAAACACCACCAAAGAGAAATTTATGGTTTTATTGTAAGCTCAAAACCTGTCACTTCAGGGGTTGTCCCGATTGTATAACCGGCTCGAGTAAAAGATTAAAGCATTTTTAACCTGGGCTTGAGAGAGATATCTGAACGAAGTTTAGAATATTACTGCATGAACAGATTTTGTTTTCGTAAAGAAAGACATTTTTGAAATAGAGATAGCCCACTGAAATTTACCGTTAGGATTTTCGAGGATGAGCCTTAATGAAGCCAAACAAAACAGTTTACAAAGTAAGAATGTAAACCATTTTCAGAAATGGTTTACATTCGCTAGAAAAATAAATATATTTGGTGTACTTACTGTTGCTGTTTGATTAATCACCTTCTCCAAAAATAATTCTATAGCATCGACAGTCATTTCAGTAGGATCATCTTCAGGAACATGATGATGCAATGTAGTTGAATTTAAAACGATTAAATATGGTAAAGCAACAATCTGCATGACTATATTATTAGCTAATTCATGACTAGTGCTCCAGCCGAATTGAAAAGTGTCGTGATATTTATCGCGGTTTTTCCTCGCTATGCTTTCAACGAGGTTTCGAAAATCGAGCATGTCTTTTGGTATCTGCAGTAGTTTGTTTTCTTCTACTACGACGAGAACAATAAATTTTTCAGTTCGTAGAATTTCGTTAATGTTGGTCTCTGTAATTTTTGGAAACGTTTCGAATCGTTCTTCATTAATCCATTTGTGCATTGAAGAATTTATGTGGTCAGCTTCAATTTGATTATTACCTTCTCCAACTAAAAGAGAAAATGGGAAATGATGGAAAGAGTACCACATAATTATAAAAATTAAAACTGTATTGTGATTGTGAACAATGCAATCTACATCATATTATGATTCTTCCCATATGAAAGTACGAAATTACCAGTTGCAATATTGTTCTAAAGAAAAGAAGTGTAAAGGGATGGGGCTGTCTATTGGGGATGAAACGTTATACAAGTTGCACTATGCAGATGACCAGGTAGTTATTGCCCAAGACAAGGAAGGCCTGGAGTATATGGCTAGAAAACTAATGGAAGAGTACAAAAAATGAATCCTCGAAGTAAATTTACAAAAAACGCAATATCTTTGCATAGGAGGAGAAAATACTGCAGATGACCTCGACTTAGAAGACGGAAAAATTAAGAAATGCAATCAATGTATATATTTGGGGGTAAAACTAACAAAGACAGGAAGAACTGATGAAGCCATAAAAGACAGAATAACCAAAATGAAACGAGTTATAGGTGCATTGAATTCAGTACTATGGCAGAAAAATATAAGATCGGAAACGAAAAAAAGAATATATAATACCATATTGAAACCAAAAATCGTCTATGGCTCAGAAGTATGGCAGTTATCACAAAAATTTAAAGGAAACCTATTGGCAGTTGAAATGGATTTTTGGAGGAGAGCAGCGGGAAAGTCTAGATTAGAACATGTGAGAAATGAGAACATAAGGAATCAAATGAATGTACAAAGATCAATTATAGAAGGCATCAAAAAACAACAACTAACATGGTACGGACATGTTAGACGTATGGGGGGAAGAAAGACTACCAAAAAAAATATTAGAATGGGTACCACCATAGAAAAGAAAACGAGGACGACCACCAACAATATGGATGCAAGGAATTTCAAAAGCAATGTCAGCAAGAAATCTATCTGAAGAAGACTGGCAGAATAGACTCGCTTGGCGAACGGGAACCCAAAGGGGGATTTCGTTATGAACGGGATATATATATATATATATATATATATATATATATATATATATATATATAATATATATATTATATATATATATATATATATAATATATATATATATATATATATATATATATATATATATATATATATATATATATATATTTATATATATATATATATATATATATATATATATATATATATATATATATATATATATATATATATAATATTGTTCTAAAGCTATTTTCTTGTGGAATTTTAAATTAATTCCTATTTAAATGAGAATCGGCCACAATTAAAGGTTAAAGTACGTTTATTGACGTTATTTAATGTTTGTATTTTGATAAAGATTTCCGAAGTGGAAATTGAAACGCCAATAAACGTACTTTAACCTTTAATTGTGGCTTATTCCCATTTAAATAGTAATTTACCAGTTGCAAAAGCCGACAATCACCGATAAAATAAATGTATTTGGATCTAGTAGTCATCATCATCATGCAACCTCTTCTGTCTATTGCTGGACATAGGTCTCTCCCATTTTTTGCCACTCTCAACGGTTCTGCGCGTCTTGTTGTCATTCTCGCTATGTGACCTGTCCAATTCCATTTTAGCTTGGCTATATATATGTTCGACGACATCATGTGATACTTGTTCATTTCCTTAGATCTTGATTCCTTACTTTGTCTTTTTTTGTCACGTCGAAAATCTATCTTTCCATGCACATTTGTGCCACTCGCATTTTTAGTGCTGTTGTTTATGTGAGAGTGAAAATTTCTGCTCCATACGTCATAATAGGAAGAAATCATTGGTCAAATGTCTTCCATTACATAGCTATCGGGATGTTACTCTTAAAGATGTGTCTTTATTGCAAGTGTTATTCGTCGTTAAAATTCACAAATTATTCTTGCTTATTCTGATTTCATTACCGAGATATATGTACTTTTCTGTCAATTCTATCATTGATTTTGAATGGTTAGGTGTTCGCTGGGAACCAAATTTGTTATAAATTTGGTCTTAGTGATGTTCATTTTTAGACCTATTGTTGAAGATACGTTTTCTAATTCTTTAGCATTTGTTGTATTTCCCCGTCCATTTTTATTCCTCTATTTTTCCCATTTTAAAGGTGTATTTGAGGACCGTTCTATATAATTTAGGTGAGAGGGTGTCGCCCTGTCTCACACCTCGCTTTGTATGAATTTCTCTGGTGGTATCATTTAGTTTTACACGCATTGTGGCGTTTTGGTACAATGTTTGTACTAACTTTGTAAGCCCGTAGTCTATTCTACTATTATTCAGAGCAGTTATAATGCTGTCTAATTCCAGGGTGTCAAAGGCTTTGTGAAAGTCTACGAAGATAAGTACCAGTGATCTGTTTTCTCTATCGATTTTTCTATTAAGGTTTTTACTGTTTGTAGGTGACCTTTTTTTCGCATTTTGAGCAGAAGCAAGCTTGTTCTCGATTGTGATATAGCTATTAAGGACTGCGACATCATTGAATATATGTTTTTTGTCACTGATTAAGTAGTCTACCTCGTTTCTGATCTTGCCATCTGGGCTTTTCCACGTCCATCTTCTATGGTCTTTTTTAAAAGAAGAAACTATTCATCTGGTACATATTTTGTTGTAATTAAAATTCTAGTAGTGTTTGTCCACGCTCGTTTCTGCCTTTGGATCCAAATTTATCTAGCGCTGTTTCCAGTGCATCCTTCTTTAGATCGATCTTTGCGTTAAAGTCGCCGCATATAATCGTGTAGTGTGTTGGTGTTTATTTCAGTGCTTGTTTATTATCATCGTAGAATCTGCTCATCCGGATGGTGCGAATTGGAGCATACACATAAATACCCTTTAATTTATACCATTTATACCTTCCTGTTAGCTTTACGATTAAATAGGCTACTCTTGCGGATCTAGTAGTGGAAACGTCAAATAAAGAATTTATTTTATAATTTTGGTTTGCTCCCAAACGAAATATTTGAGAAACTTTATAATCTAGACACTAGTGTGAATGTTTCCGTTGAACCTTTAATTATCAATGTGACTAATAGTGATTGAGATAGTTCTTCATCAACCGAGAGTTTTTTTTCAGACAATAGTTATTATTTTGACCTTTGGTGCATGTCGAACTACTTTGTCAATGTTGCCTCATATAATAGGTAAGTTAATTTCGTTTAGATCTGCTCAGATGTAAGTTAGTGGTTGAGGACAACCCCATAGAACAGGTGATGTAATTCAGATATCTGGGCATAGATATATCAAGCACCCACGACCCAGTAAAGGACCTGAGGAGTCGGATCAACAAAGCATCTGCACTGTCACAGGACACAGTTTTTTTTTATACTATGGTCAGGATGTCTGCGAGAGATAGTCTGGTCAAATCCGTATATGCGCACAGATAGTAAAATTAGAATCTATAAGACTAGCATACGACCGATCATGACATATGGCATAGAAGTGCGCGAAGATACCAACAAAACGAAACAGATGCTAAGGGTTGCCGAAATGAAAACCCTAAGAACAATTATGGGGAAAACAAGAAGAGACAGAGTGAGAAATACAAACATTAGAGAGCAGTGCAAAATTCAACATATTGTAAGATGGGGAAGGCAGCGCAAGAGGATGTGGTACAACCATGTAAGACGAATGGATGAGAATAGACTCCCAAAAATTGCCCTAGAAAACAATCCGCCCGGTTCAAGACCCGCCGGAAGACCACCTAAAAGATGGAGGGATAGTTGGCAATCTACCTCCCAAGAAATTAACCAGAGGCAGCTTCAAAATTAAACAGATCGAAAGATCTACAAAAAGTAGAAGAAGAAGAAGAATTTCGTTTATATGGATGTCAAATTAAAATACTTACGTCTTCTATAACTCCTACATATGTTACTAATTTTTAAAAGCTAAAGAAACTTCACGACACTGATAGATGGTTGGGACTGGAATTAGCAAAATTACATTCAAATCCTTACCTGAATAAAAATAATGTGAATTCTCCTTGTGAACAAATACTGCAGGAAGGGTGTGAATATCTACGTGTTTGTTGGCAATTTCCTCAGTGGCTGAATAGTAAAACGCATGGGCCTGAAACTTAGAGGCCACATCATAAAATGTGTTCCACAAAAGCCCATCTCGTTCGCCCACATACATGAAAAACAGTTGGTTCATATTTTTTATATTGATAAGACTCTCAGGTCGTGTTACTTGTTGTACAGGCGGTCCAGCTAATCTAATAGCAAAGTTTATTATCTCATCTGTTATTTTCTCTCCTTCAAAAGTAAAATCCTCTTCAGCTTTTATACTGAAAAAAATTAGATTATTAGAATATAGAAAAAGATTATTCTATCAAAAAGAAATTTTAACAAACTACATCATTGTTAATAGATTGTTTCAACATTTTATTTGTTAATTATTGATAAAAAATTAAAAAGGTGCCACACTATGAGGAGTGAGTACACCTGGGTATAGTTAATATATATAATCAAGTATTTTTTGCACTTTCTTCTTCATAGACGTCCAAATGGCTATTCAGGTTTGTTTTACACTAATTATCACAATAATTGAGAGCACCACTTTCATTCTATTTCTCATAAAGCCATTGACTTACTTTGGTGCAATATTATAAATTGTTATTAAACTAATTATATTTCCTACTTAAATAAGTATGATGATGATAAATTTGATAAAAAAGCAATGCTTAAGCTGAATATTTGACAAAAAACATATATTGGTCAATAAAAATATTACATCTATTGATGGATAGATGTGATCATTTCTATTTACAGGGGTTATTAGCTATACCACTCAGTAATTAGGTATAAAATTAATTTAATAATACTTACAGTTTAATTGTGGGATAAGTAGTAATATCAAAGGATTTTCCTACATTTGGAAATATTGTACAATCAACTTTTCCCACTCTAATATGAGTATTTTTTAGGGCTTGAACTACGTGAGCCCAAATAGGTTCGAGTCTTTTACAATGACCACACCAAGGAGTGTAAAATTTTACAAGCCAATACCCACCGTCTTTTCGAACGTCGATAAAATTATCTCCCAATTCTAATATCCATTTTGAAGAAGGTGAAACTACTATGATACATTCTAAAAGATATATTAAATGATAATAACAGACAAATACATTTGTAAATATATACTTACTTATTAATAATACAAGTCTGAGAATATGCATTGTTAATGTTTCAATACATATTTGATCAAGATAATATATAAATTATTCTAAAAAAAATGCTTTTAGCGCTTTTTTAAAAAACTTTAATTCTCTTGCAAATGTTATGCAATTCGTTTTACAAATACCAGTAGACTAGGGCTGTTCCTATTGTGCTTATCACCTTAATAAATTAGAATAGGTACACATATTTACAAGTAGAATCTTTTTAAGTCAACAATTATTTACCAATCTATCCTTTATTGATTTTTAAAATATGTTTATTTCCCACCCACTTTCCATTTGACATTCTTCTTTTTCGAGAATACTTTTCTATAGTGGGTATACATCAACCTACTCTACATAAATAAATTTAAATGTAACACCTTGGTATTAATTTTATTACAGAGTATTATATTATAAATTGTAAATTATTTTAATTTTGAAAAAAATCCAACGATTTAAAATCTGCCTCTAAATTAACAAGGTAAACCCTCGTATACCCTTATAAAGCACATTTTAGTTTACCGGTAAAAAGAAGACATTCAAATTTCTTGTCAACGGTCAACGGTAATTCAATTCAAGTTTAACGGACGCCAAATTGTAAAATATTTTAGATTTTAGAATCCCAATAAAAGTGAAACCAATATAAGACAGTGTTCTTACTAAATATTATCGTTAAAATGGAGAATCCATTATGGGAACGCGTTCTAATAGATTGGGTAAGATTCTGAGGCATGTTACAGTTTTTGTTTATATAATTTTGTTTCTGTTTTGTAGGTAAATTGTTTAAAACTTTCTAATCCTATTCAAAAGCTTGACGACCTCAGAGATGGTTTATTCTTTAGTAACCTTTATAAAATAACGTAAGTACAACAGTTACATTGACATTTAACTCTGGTTTTTATAAAATATTTTGTATTTTCAGAAAAAAGTCCTCAGACATTGATTGTGATATACTAACATATATTTTTGATGTTTTAAACGAACATTATTCCGATTTTATTATTCACAATAAAACCATTATACACCTTAGTGATCTCCCTAAAGATGATTTATGTGCTATTACTTCACTTCTGATGCACTACACAATTATGCATGACAGAAGGGATGTATTAACATCTCCACTTTGTTATAATCTTCAAGAATTTACCCAAATCAAAATCCGGAGCTTTTTGGAAAAGGTACAAGATACAGTTAACAATGCCGAACTTGCCAGGATAATAAATAGTTGTATTGAAGACAATAGAAATTATAGTTGGATCTCTAGCCCCTTACATAATTCATGTAACAGTCCTTTACAGGATGTATTGAAGACTCCAGCTGTGAAGAGCACTAGATTGTTTGAAAGAGATAAAGAAATAGCTAAACTAAAAGCAAGTTTAGAATTGGTTCAAGATGAGAAAGAAATTGCTGAAAAGGACCTCCAGAGTCAAATCGAAAGGAACAAAAAGTTGGGTATGTATAAAAGTACTATTTCCTGTCTTTTTTAAACATCTTTAGAATTCCTAGAAGTTTTAAATTACATATAAAAAATAAATATAATTCTGTTTTTTGTTGTATCGATTATTGCTCCAAATTGTTTTACTATTAATTAAATAAATAATTTTGTATTAACACTATGTTAAACTAATATTTTAATTTTTAACTAATCTATTTTGTCAATTAACATGTTTTATAATTTATCATTTCTAAAATATCAATCAATTTACTATAGAAAACACATTAGATTAAAAAATGGAAATAATACAGAATAGACTTATCTCATTGTCTCATTAGGAAATCTTTTTTATAAAATAATACTGCTTTATACAATGTACAAGTATACAACTTTAATAATGTTAACAACTTGTCTGTCAGTTTTAGGTTTTTTTCTATCTTTAGTTTTTTGGATGATAAAAAAGATTAACTATTATCTGCAACTAGTTCATGTTTATTCTTGAATTCAATTATTCAGATACTTTCGAAAACATCTGTCACAGTAATGACTTGTTTATACAACTTATTAATAGGAATATTAAGTTGCTCTGAAGTTTTTCTTCCTCTATGTATTGAAATACATTATATTTGTTAAAATGTTCAATATTTTGGTCAATTTTTCAAAATAACCATCCAGCTTGATTTAAAGGGAAGTATGTTTTAGGTAGAGACCCAAATATCTTGCATACTAAGAGAAATTCTGACTTCTTCTTCTTCTTGTAGTGCCTATCCGTTTCGGATGTTGGCGACCATCATGGCAATCTGCACTTTGCACACTGCTGCTCTAAAAAGATTTGTGGTTGTTGTGTTGAACCACATTCGTAGATTTTTCAGCCAGGAAATCTTTCGCCTTCCTGGTCCCCGTTTTCCTTCTACTTGTCCCTGCAAGATTAATTGCAGCAGTCCATATCTTTCGCTGTTCCTTATGATGTGACTGAGGTATTCGATTTTGGCTGTTTTTATTGTGGTTAACAGCTCTTTTTCTTTTTTCATTCTCAACAGAACACCCTCATTAGTAACGTGGTCGGTATATGATATCTTCAGGATGCGACGATAAAGCCACATTTCAAAAGCCTCAATTTTCTTGCAGGTGGCGTCTGTGAGAGTCCATGACTCAACTCTGTACAACAGTACAGGAAAGATGTAACATCGTAGTAACCTGATTTTTATGGGCATTGATAAATCATGACATTTGAATAACTTAGCCATTTTTTGAAATGCAGATCTTGCTTTCTCTATTCTACATTTGATTTCTATGGAATGATCCCAATTTTCATTGACATTCGTACCAAGGTAGGTGTATGTTTTTACTCTTTCTATTTGTTGACTGTTTAAGCTGATTTGTCAAAATTGCTCTTCCTTCTTAGAGATCATCATGTATTTTGTTTTCTTAGTGTTTAGTGAAAGTCTGTATCTCTGACTGACCTCTGTGATTCTGTTCATTAACTCCTGGAGGGTTTCAGAGCTGTCAGCGAACACTGTTATTGATAGATTCTCCGTTGATTCGAATTCCAGCTTTAACATCACCCACTGCTTCTTGAAATTCTGACAATAACTAACAATGATGTATATCTGTTGTAATTTCTTCTTTTGAGATACTTCTGTTTGAAGCTTGTTAAACAGGTTTTTAATCTTATGTATGATTTATATATGTCTCCATGTTATCTTCTCTTTCTTATGGTTAATGAATTGTAGACAAATATTAGAGGTTTTGCCAATATTTCCACCAGATGACCTATGCAATTTGATTGCATTCGACCTATGCAATCTCTTGCAGTGATAAATCTCGTAACTTTTGCAAGAGTACCTGGTCAAGTTAACTGTTTGAGCTGGAAACACATTACATGCAGTTGAGTTAAAACTCACCAAAATGAACTTATAATGTAGAATTTTCTTTAAAGATTGGAGAAGCCAATTTGCCTTTTGCAACCGGAATTCCTCTTAATATAATTCCTTTTATAGTTTCACATAGCCTAATTACTTATATTTCCAGTAGATCTTGTTTAGATTAGCACTTAAAGTTCTTTTCTAAAGCAAATTTTTGTTTGCACATTTTCTTCTTAATTTATAGAAAACCCTGTAACCAGTCCCAGTTACATTAAATTTTATATTGGCTAAGATGTTTTTACAAAAACAAAGATTTTAATTTGAAAATTGAATTAAGTAATTATGAAAATTATAATATAAAATTTTACATTACTTCTAAAATTTCAAACAATTATTTACCATTTATACAACAAGCTGTTAGAGAAAGCTTTTGTAAAAACCTGAAATATTAGAAACCCTTTCTTCAAAAAATAATATTTACTACATTTGTTTACATTTATCCATCTAAACACACCCGTACCTAATGCCTTTTTATTAATTTAGAAAAACAACTGGGTCAAAAAACTGTAGAGATATCAAATTTAAGGAGTGAGGTTCTTGAATTAGAAAATAGAACTCCACCACACTACAGGGATAAAGATTACAGGGAAATGCAGAAAATACTAAGGACCAAAGTTGATAGTCTTGAACAAATCCTCGAACAAAGTGACAAGGAGAACCTAGAGTTGAGAGAAGAAAGAGATAAGGAAAGAGCACAGGTTAGTGAGTCTATAGAATGTGAATTCTTTCTTTTTTCTCAGTTTTAACATTTTTTATCATCATCATTCTGGTTTTACAGCCCTGTGAGGGTCCTATCTTACTCAAGAATTATTTCTCTCTTCATTCCTATTGTATTGTTTCTTTATTTTTTTTCCTTCTATTAATTAAAATGGTTATCTTTTTTTTTTCTCTATTTCTATTTGAGACCAAGGAATAATTGTGTAAAATCATTTAAAATTTATAAAAATTACTGGGCATATTTTTTTGGAAGTCTTAAAAAGTTAATAAGAGGACATGTTAACATTTCGTTACTCTAGACCAGTTCCGTGGATAAAGAAAATATTTTTATCCTAGCAATGAAGAAACTCATAAGTGTCACTATAAAGTTTCACATCAAAAAGTCAAACCTAGATTTGAATTTAAAAAATAATTTTAACCAAAACTGTCAAAATTTCTGGTTTTAATGCCTAGAATTAATTGCTATGTGATTAAAAAATCCTCCAGTTCTATTGGTCTTAGAAAGTTCTTATCATCTTTACATATATTGATAAGTGAATTAAAACATTCTTTTTTATCGATAAGATATTTGGAAGCATACAAAGAAAATGAAATCAAATAAGGTGTTTGAGTTAGAGTTATTAACAATTATATGTAAATCGCATTTTCTGGTTTGATTTGAAATACATTTTTTGATATGGAGCCATTTTAATTCACAAAATCTCGTTTTTAAGCTTATAGCTTTAGATCTTTTTCAAATGTCCCTTATATTAACAGATATTAGGACTTTTTAATAGACATATGTTCAGTCATTTTGTAGTTTCAAAAGCAAGAATTCTATTCAGGGATCTATATTACTACTTTATTCTTACTTTACATTTATATTGGTTTTTTTAGTCCGTATTACTGTATCTGACCTTCTATTGCATCAATTTGTATAAAGCTAGTGTTCCTTTTTGTAAAATTATTTTGTTATTTGGTTATACTATCAGTTTATTATATTAATATATATTCCTAATCTTTTACCTAACAATTTTTTCTGGTTTAAATGATGAGTACTTGAAAAAAAAAACGGATCAAGAGATTGATCTATGTTTTGTTGAAATTGTAAATATATGTAAGCATAAATATTTTTAGGTAAAACAACTAGAAAGCCGTTGCAAGACTTGGTTAGAAAAATTTATAGATGCAGATAACAACTTAACATCAATTACAGAAAACTATAAAGAATTACAATTAAAAAATGAGAATCTACAGGCACATTGCCTAGAACTTGAAGCTTTACTTGATGAACTCAAACCAAAATCAATGAACGACACCATTATTGAAGAGAGTTTTCAAACTCTATCTCGTAGATCGAGAAGCTTGGGATCTCAGAGTGAAGGGGAAGATCTAGCTCATTCAGTAATAGATGTACAACTGAAAGAACTTCAAAAAGAGAATCAGACCATCAAAACAAATTTAGACCATGTCCAGAACAATTGTAACCAACTCACAGATGAAATTGACACTCTCACCTTAGAGAGATCTGTGTTAAATGACGAAAAAATTCAATTGGAACTTGAGCTACAAGCAGCAAATGGTAAAATTGAAGAATTTACAATGAATTACCAACAGCTTCACGAAAACTGGAAAATTTTAACACAAAATAAAAATTTCCTTGAAAAGGAAAAAGCTGGTTTAATAAATGAAAATCAAAATATGCAAAAATCAATCAAAAACCTTACAAATGATGCAGAGGAATTGTCGAAAGATCTAACAAAATGCAAAGAAGAAAAAGATCAACTTGCGGAAACAATAAACAATTTAACAGCCAGTAAACAAGTAATAGAAACAGAATTGGAATACACCAAACTTGCCTTAGATCAACTAACAAATAAGAAAAATGATCTGGATGTTGAATTAGAAAAAGTAACAAGAGAAAAGCTTGACATATGTACACAGAAGAATAGCTTAAGTGATGAACTTAAACAAACTAAAATATCTCTTAAAGCGGTTGAAGATGAAAGAACTGCTTTATCAGAAAATCTTGTAAAGTATAAAAAAGACAATAGTGAACTTGCTCTTGTAAGAAAAGACTTAGAAGATCAACTCGACTCAATGAGACAAAATGTAGAGAATTTAAATTCAGATTTACAGAAGAAGATTACAGAAATACAGCAAGTATCTGAAGAATTAAATGATTTGAAGACTAAATATGAAAATATCCAAGTGGCTTGTGCCAACCTTGAAGAAGAAAAGGTAAACCAAGAAGGTTTGATTACTATTCTTGAGGAGAAAAACAAAGAGTTATTACACAATTTAGCAAACGTCATGGAGGAAAAATCTTCTGTATCTGATGAATTAAGAAAAAAGTCTGAAACTGTCATTAAATTGGATGAATCACTTAAAACCATGATAAATGAAAAAACCTCAATAGAGGACTGTTTGACAGAGACTATTTCAAAATTGCATTTATCTTCCACATTAAACTCTGAATATTTAGAAAAACTCGATATTGCAAACACCGAAAGGAAGAATCTAGAAGAAGAAATTCGCAATTTGAAAAATAACAATGAATATTTATTAAAAACATACCAGGAGTTAAGCATGCAGTTTGAAAAGGTAACGAATGAAAAAGAAAGTATTAAAATTGAACTGAATACAAAAATTACGCTACTCTCTGAAGTATCTTCAGAATTAAAGGAAATTAACAATAATTTGGTGGATGTATCATCAAAATTAGTAGAATCATCTGAGTTGAATTCTCATTATTTGACAAAACTTAACATTTCAATTGCTACAAACAACAAATTAGAACAAAATATTCAAGTATTAAACGCTGAAATACAAAATTTGACAAAGAAATCAGAAGATCTAACAAGTGAAACATTAAAACTAAACAACGAGAAGAAAGATATTTTTGAACAACTAGAAAATAAGTGTGCGATAGTTGCAGAATTATCTTCTTCCATGGAAGAACTACAAAACGATAAATTGACTATTACTGAGGAGCTAGCTACAGTTATTTCTGGTAATAAGGCACTTTTGGCGGACATAGACAAAACGAGACATGAGCTACAACAAGTGGTAGCTGAAAAAGAGGAAGTTTTACAAAGAGAACTTGAACAAAAATATGAAATTGAGCAGAAGTTTAAAAACTCAGAGATACAACTAAGTGACAAAGTTGCTGATAACTTACGATTGAAGGAAACCTTGCAAGATATCGTAAAAAACAAGCACGAATTAGAAGAACAACTAGATAATACAGAAACTGCCCTCAGTAAGGCATTGCTTGATATAAACAATTTAACTGATGAGCTACGTAAAATGACAGAAGATAGAAATAATATTATAAGCGAAAAGGAAAATATTTCTAATACTCTCGATACTGCACAAATATCTCTTATTAAAGTTCAAAGTGAAGCACATATCCTAGCAGAGGAATTGGAAAACAATAAAGAAAGTTTTAGTCAACTTCTCATATTAAAGAACGATATTGAACAGCAACTGCAGGCAGTGATTACTGAAAAATCTGCAATGGAAACAGAATTAAAAGAAATTTCTTCAAAATTAGAAGAATGTTCTGCATTAAATTCACAGTATTTGGAAAATCTTACAGCTGCAATTAACGAAAAGGTTGCTATAAACGCAGAGAAACAAGAATTGATAAATAAATATAAAGAATTAAGTGACAGTAACAAAGTAATATCTAAAGAAAAGGAAGATGTTTTGACTGAATTGGAAAAAAATACTCAAATAACTATTGAGATGTCTTCTAAGCTAAGTGAATATGAAAAAGATAAGCATGCACTAACAAAAGAAATTGATAAAATAACTAGCCATACAGATGAATTGTTAGCAAACTTAAAAGAAAGAGAAAGTGACTTACTTGAACAAAATGTACATCTTAAAGAAGAACTGAATAAAACAATTGCCGAAAAAATGAATCTAAGTGAAAGTTACGAAACAGCTAAATCTTCACTAGATCAAGCTACTATTGAAAATAATTTCGTCAACGAACAACTAACAATTTTCCAACAGAAGGAACATGATTTGCTTGAGGAAAATGCAAAAATTAAAGAAAACCTTGATAAAACACTTACAGAAAAGGTCCAACTAAATGAAAATTACGAATCAGTAAAACTTTTGCTGGATCAAACAGTTTCTGAAAAGCATATTTTGGACGAAGGGTTAACAAAAACAGTCAAACAAAGAGATGAGATTTTGAACCAAAAAAATAAAGTACAAAAAGGTTTTGAGAATTTACAAAGTTCTTATGAAGAACTTTCACAAAATATGCTTACAAAAGTAGCAGCTCTAGAGCTTATTGAAAAAGAAAGAGACGATCTGTTAGAAAGGTTCAATGGGTTAAATAAAAATTGGGTAGATGTCGTGGAGGAAAATGAACATTTAAATACTACGATAGAAAATATCAAAGCAGCAAATACCACACTCTTTGAAGATGTTAATAGCTTAACACAAGCCAATGCGGAGCTAAACAAGCGAATGAATACATTATGTGATACTTTGGAGGAAACTACTAAATCAAGAGAAGAATTGTCAGAAAAATTAACAAAATGCCAAGACGAATGTAACGCTTTTCTTGTAATAAATAACGATCTTGAAAATCAGTTAAGAGAAGCTTTAAATGACAACAAAAGTATTAAGAAATGTTCGGAAAGTATTTTATCAGAAAAACATAATATAACTGAAGAATTGAAAAACACAAACACAAAATACCATGATTTGGAAATGATGCATGAGAATCTTAGAGTAGAAAACAATACCTTACACGACAGTTTAAGTGTCCTTAAATCAGACAATAGCAAACTTTCTGAGAAACTAGCTAAAGTAACGAAAGATTTAGAATCAGCGATTGAAGATTTTGCCACCAAAAACAAACTAATAACAGAAAAACTTAATGAAAAAGCAGAAGTTCTCCAAAAAGCGATCTTGGAAAAAGATACCCTAACAGAAAAACTTAGTGAGAAAGAAGAAATTCTCGAAAAAGTCATTTTGGAAAAAGATAGATTGACCGAAAAACTTATTGAGGAAGAAGAAATCCTCAAAAAAGTCATTTTGGAAAAAAATAATTTCATAGAACAGCTTAATGAGAAACAAGAAATCCTCCAAAAATTCATTTTGGAAAAAGATAGATTGACAGAACAACTTAATGAAAAAACAGAACTTCTCCAAAGGGAAATCTTGGAAAAAGATACCTGTACAGAAAAACTTAAGGATAAAGACGAAATCATCAAACAATTCATTTTGGAAAAAGAAAGATTAACAGCAGATCTTAATAAGAAAGAAGAAATCCTCCAAGAAGTCATTTTGGAAAAAGAAAGCTTAGCAGCAAATCTTAATAAGAAAGAAGAAATCCTCCAAGAAGTCATTTTGGAAAAAGAATGCTTAACAGCAAATCTTAATAAGAAAGAAGAAATCCTCCAAGAAGTCATTTTGGAAAAAGATAGCTTAGCAGCAAATCTTAATAAGAAAGAAGAAATCCTCCAAGAAGTCATTTTGGACAAAGATAGTTTAACAGAAAATCTTAATACGAAAGAAGAAATCCTCCAAGAAGTCATTTTGGAAAAAGAAAGCTTAGCAGCAAATCTTAATAAGAAAGAAGAAATCCTCCAAGAAGTCATTTTGGAAAAAGATAGCTTAGCAGCAAATCTTAATAAGAAAGAAGAAATCCTCCAAGAAGTCATTTTGGGCAAAGATAGCTTAACAGAAAATCTTAATACGAAAGAAGAAGTCCTCGAAAAAATCATTTTGGAAAAAGATAATTTCATAGAACAGCTTAATGAGAAACAAGAAATCCTCCAAAAATTAATTTTGGAAAAAGATAGATTGACAGAACAACTTAATGAAAAAACAGAACTTCTCCAAAGGGAAATCTTGGAAAAAGATACCTGTACAGAAAAACTTAAGGATAAAGACGAAATCATTGAACAATTCATTTTGGAAAAAGAAAGATTAACAGCAGATCTTAATAAGAAAGAAGAAATCCTCCAAGAAGTCATTTTGGAAAAAGAAAGCTTAGCAGCAAATCTTAATAAGAAAGAAGAAATCCTCCAAGAAGTCATTTTGGAAAAAGAAAGCTTAACAGCAAATCTTAATAAGAAAGAAGAAATCCTCCAAGAAGTCATTTTGGAAAAAGATAGCTTAGCAGCAAATCTTAATAAGAAAGAAGAAATCCTCCAAGAAGTCATTTTGGACAAAGATAGCTTAACAGAAAATCTTAATACGAAAGAAGAAATCCTCGAAAAAATCATTTTGGAGAAAGATAGTTTGACAGATCAACTCAATGAAAAAACAGAACTTCTCCAAAAGGAAATCTTGAAAAAAGATTCCTTAACAGAAAAACTTAATGATAATGACGAAATCATCAAAAAAATCATTTTGGAAAAAGATAGCTTGACTAAAAAAATAGCAACTCTAGAAAATGAGTTAAAAATTAAAGACAAAACAACTTTAGATGAAGAAACAAAGTTTGAATGTGCGATATTAGAACAGATGGAAGTTGCCAAGCAGCTACAGACAGAGAATGTATCATTATCTGATAAATTAGCTGCATTAACAGTCGAGAACGAAACAAACTGTGCCAAGCTCAATGAGTGCACACAAAAGATTTCTGAAATGTCTGCGTATTTGAAAACGACACTAGAAGAAAAAGAAAATATTTTCAATAATTATAAATATGCCGAAGATAAGTTGGTTGTAGCACAAAAAGAAGTAGATACCATCACAGTAAAATTGAATACAGTAACTCAGGAACTTAACCAATGCCAGCTAAATATTGAAGAATATATTTCTGAAATACAAAACCTAAAATTAGACAGCACAAGATTAACAACAGAAAAAGAACAACTTAATGAAACTATTAAAAAGGTTATTGAAGAAAAATCAGTAATATCGAAATTTTTCGACTTAAATAATAACGAGCTGCAAAATATCCAGCAAAAACGTGACGAGCTCTTAGAAGCCTTAGAACAAAGTAACAAGATAGTGAGCAATTTACAGGAAGAAAAGGAACAGCTACTAGCGGAGATTGAAAATTTAACCAAAGTGAAAAACGAATTCTCGGAACAGTTAGATAGAGTCTCCCAAGAAAATGCCGATGCAACTGAGAAAATTCAAAGTTTGTTGAAGAAAAATTTCGAAACATCCGAAGAACGAAAAAATTTAAATGAAAAAATTGATCAGTTAACAGGCGAAAATGCGTATATGGTAGGTACACTTACAACCCTATCGCATGATTTAGACGAAAAAATTAAAAACGAGACGACTTTAGAATCAGCTTGCAAAACTCTTCAAACACAATTAGACGAAAAATCTGAAATCTTGGAAAAACTATCAGAAGAACACAAAGATATATTCGATATTGTAGATAAACTTTCTCAAGAAATAACGGATATGAAGAAAACCATAGATTTGCTTTCTGCGGAAAAGATGCAACTTACGCAACAAGTTAGCGATCTTACGGATCAAATACGAGATTTAATACAAGAAAAAAATAAACTGATCGAATGCGTGGACCTAAGCGATAAAGAACTTCAAAAAGTAAAGAAAGACAGAAACGAGATACTAGAAGGCCAAACCAAAATTATGAAAGAAACTGAAAGCAGTTTGATCTTCGCCCGTCAGAGCTCCATAGCGATCAAAAATGAGCTGATGAAGAAAATAGAAATGGCCGAAACAGAGAAAGAAATATTACGTAAGCAAGTGGAACAAGATACTAAAAAAATACAGGATACCTATATGTCTGTAATGACTGCTAACACAAAATTGGAGTTAGAAATTATTAATCTAAGAAAGAAAATCGAGGATAAAAACCAAAAACTGAGCGAATATGTACAAATTAAGGAAGCCTATGAAAAACTGTTGGAAGAAAATAATAGGCTTATGACAGAGGTCGATACAATTAAATACAAGAGATCTAGAGATAGAGAAGAATTTGTAAATTTGTTGAAAAAAGAAAGAGAAGACGCAACTGCCAGAGAAAGCAAGAAAGTGAAAGAAGTACGAAATGAGTATGAAGGAAAACTTGAAAAAATGAAAGAGAAAATGGTGAGTACTATTCTTTAATAAATATTTTATAACAAATCATTTGTAGTATTAGAAAAGAAACTATTGCTATTGCATTGCAATTTTTTATTTTAATTTAGTAAATAACTAGCGGACCCAATCCCAACTACTGGGATTTATCCATAAATTTTTTTAATTAATTTGACTCTATGCCTACAAAATTGTATAATATTTAAGCTTTTTATGATAAAATTCGTAGATTGTGTCGATGTAATTATGAACTTTTTTGTTTTAGCTAAAACTGTACAGAGAAGAAGTTGGCAAAGAGATGATGAAAGTGAAGGCAGAGCAAAGTGAAAGTGTAAGTTGTACTTCTGTAATATAATATTGTAAATTTTGTAATTCGTAAATTTGACAAAAATTATACACATTGTGTTCATTTGAAAAATATCAATATTTCAGAAATGCGATAAATTAGAAAAAAATGTCGAGACAGGTCAGTTTTTTAAATTCAGTTTTGCTTTTATTTCGGATAATAGCAACTACGATGACGTGATGACGACATAGATTTGTTTTTTTAATGGAAACCTATATTTTTCTTGTTAAAATTAAATGGACAATGAAATTCTATTAACGACAATATATATTTCTATTGCAATAAAGTAAGTGGTTAAAAGTCAAATAATTGGACAGTTTCAGGAATTTTTGTTTAAAATATGAATCAGTTGCATATGAGTCTTAGTGAGAGCGCCCCTAAACTGGCATGGCAGGTGACAAGTAGCAAGTAGCACGCATCTAGCATGTTATTTAAAATGTAGCCAATGCAAATGAATGATTAGAATGAATAACGCCACTGTTATTTTGTTGTGCGCTGAATCATTCGTTTTCATTAGTTACATTTTAAGTAAAATGCTAGACGCGCGCTACTTGCTACTTGCCATGCCAGTTTGGTGGGCGCTCTCTCTTAGACTTACTTACAATCAGTTTATTCTACATTCAACCGGACGACCGGTTTTGAAGACTAAACTTTGCTGTTCATAGTCAGGTCTCCTACGGAAAGGTCACATGTAAGCATACTTCAAACTGAATTAGGCTGGGCTGCTGTTTGAGGGTCATCAGCATTAGTGCGCATCGAAAAATGTAGGAATGTTCTTAAGGCGAAATCAACCAGATATAGGAGAAGAAACTATTGATATGATTGTTTGTCGAACAATCCAAAACATTTGATTAGTAGATATTATTATCTAGTGCGATCTGTATCGTACTGCTATGGGGATTTTCTTGAAACGCCAGTACTACATCCAGTTTCTTGGCTTCGACTATTGATTTTCTACTGACGTCACTCAACACTGGGGAGTAGGCAGATTTAGACTTCAGTGCCGAGAGACAGTTCTTGTATTTATACAGAACACGATACTGTTACGTCACGAGTGAGGGCAGTAGGCAGATTGAGACCCTGAACTCGAACGGAACCGTATCTCTCTTGAAAATGGCTCCAAAATGGGTGCCGAAACATCGAGCATTAAATTCTTAACGCGGTTCTTCCCAAGAACTCAGTAGTTTTCATTTATCTGACCGCGGAAATCTATCATACAGATTAAAAAATACAAAACGTTCAGTGTAAGTTATCAAAAACATAACTAAGTCAGTTTTGTAAAAGTTAAAAAAAAATTATCCAAGATGGAAGACAAACAAAGTTCTAAATTAGCACTGATATTATTAAATTACTATGGTTTATATTTAATATCAGGTAACATTACATTTTGACAAAGTAATATTACCGACAGGTAAAAGATTTTCAAAATCGGAGGGCACAAAAAGTAGAGGACGACCACGAAGGGGATGGATTGATGATGTGGAAGAAGACCTACAGATTCTAAGGGTTAGAAGATGGAGGGAAGTTGCCACGAATCGACAAGAGTGGCGAATTCTTTATTAGCAGACCAAGATCCCCAATGGATTGTCGAGCCACTTATGATGATGATATTACCGACGGAACGCCATGTGAATATTTCAAAGGCTGTTAATGCGTTTCAGCTATTTATTATTATTATTATAAACAGATCTTCTGTAGCACCTTTTTTGTATGACCAATATTTGGAAGACGAGGTCCAGGAGGAAGAAGAACATCAAAACCTGGATCGCGAACATTTGTCACTGATAGGCACATCAAGAAGAAATATGACCAATGATCTTCCCCATTTGTCTGGGATATATTCTTCAGATAGATTTACCAGTTCGTTTTTTAATTGTGTGGTACCTTCCTTTAACGTCTCCGGTAAAACTTCATCATCACCACACTTTATTATATTTTGATTTATTAAAGTGTAATACCGATTTCTTCTATTTGGATGTCAGGTATTTCTTCAGTATAGTAGTGCGAGTACAAAAATTGATCTGTTATCAAAATCAAACTTTTTTATAAAAATATATAAATTACTTAAATTTGTTTCAGGTATGCTTTGTAAAAACTATAGAAGACCTACGAAACGACCTATTCGAAGCGCAACAAAAATTGCACTTGTTGGAAACTGAACGGGACATGTTGCGGATCAAAGAGGCTCAAATGAACCGAAATATCCAAGCTTCTAGAGAATCTTTGCGATCAATGCCCGATGCACGTGACTCGATTAGAAGCAGTGTCACGTCGTTGCGGTCAATTGGTACAAATAATAACCGACTTGAAACGGTGCAAATGGTCCAAAGAGGAAAGAGTACTAGTACTTCTGTGTTGCCAAGACAGACCAGAGAAGTGGAAAGAAAGACGGTAACGTTGCCTCGAAGGGTAGCTGAAATACAAGAAACAGTTACGATCTCGAGGAGAACGTCGTTGACCAATGTTCCGAGTATGCCGATGGAAGATGAAGATGATGATTTCAATAATAAATATTTAGCCGATTTAAAGGCTGGGCATTGCGTGATAGGTGACAGCGGAAGGCAATCGAATGTTAGATTTTCTGAGTTAGCTTGGAGAAATTCACTAGTGCCTCCTCATTTAAAATCTTCATATCCAGCTGAAACGCAATTTGCTAGCCCCTCCAAATTTAAGGAAGATGATTTGAAGGTAAAATTTTTTTTATAACATTAGATATTACTGCATGATTTAATATTATGGTAAAATCTGTCCAGTGCAAATTATTATTACATTCATTTAAAAATCCCATGAACAACACAGTGTGAATACCAGGAGCAACTCGGCGAGAGAAATAAATTCTCTCCATTTACGATATCCGTGTGCTTGTGAAAATTTTAATTAAAAACACATTCTTTTTTACAATACGTTAATTTGTTATTTTTATTTTCCTTCTAAGAATTTTTTTAGATCTTAAAAGACTTATTTATAATAAAAATGTGAGTAATTTGAATGGTTAAACAAATTACATTACATGTAACATATCAGATGATGGACAGTGTTTGAGGCACACTAAATGAACGAGGAACCGTTGCTCAGAGTCGGAACAGATGTGGGAGTGGTTCTTTAAATATTAGTACACAAACTAAAATAAAATTGGGGAGAAAGAAAGGAATATAAGATGATAGCTAATTTTTTGATCAGATCTAAGTAAGGACAATGAGACACTCTATTGTTAAGATGAACAAAATACTGTGTAATTGAAGATGTGTTGTTATAAATACTGCCAATGATGTTGTAGTCCTTAGGTCCTTAGTTTAGCAATTGATCAATATATTGAAAATGACACAGATTTTGATAAAAGTTAAAAGCAATATGGTCATGGATGCCTTCAATTGGAAATGAAGAAGAATCTGCGTGATTTCAAACATGAATAGTTACTTTTGTTTGATTTCTATAACATTTATTCATTTGTTATATTTCGATAATTGTACTAAATAAGTTTTTTTGTTGTATAGTTATAAAAAACACATTTAATGAATTAATTGACAAAATACCAAAACCACATTTATTAAATTTAAATTTTCTACCTGTTTTCCCTTAATTTCATTTTTTCAATAATGAGATCCTCTTACCTTTTCGTCCATCCTTATTTCTTATTTTGCCAAAATATGTTGATAAAATTTATATCAATATTAGCATAACACCTGGTTATTAAACAACTGTATCAAATAATATATACTTTCAGGTTGGTAACATTTGCCTCGACGATAGTTTAAGTAAACTTCTTCCGGGAGAAAAGCCTCGCCAAAAGAAAGACTTCGGAACAACTACATATAAGAAGCCTGGTCCTCCAACGCCTAGCAAAAACGGGGGAAGGTTATCTCTACAAGGAAACGAAGTACAGCCATTGCCTTTAAGAGAACAAAACGAGAAAACCCCTACGAAGAAAGTTCCTACACCTAGTAGGATTAGAGCACTTTTCGGAATAAGTAATTCCCGGGATAATTCTGAGGTAAATCTGGTTTAAGTGTAGTAAACGTAATCGTGGAATGCAGTATATCAGAAAGAAGCTTTTTGAAAGATCATTGTGATTCTCTTTGCATTTATCCTTATGCGCGGTTAGCATGAAGTTTTGAAGCTCCAAAAACTTTATTTTCTTTTGGGCAGTGTGAGCACTTGTATTGTCCTGATGTAGGATGATTCACCGTTGTGTGTTGCTTTGTCGGAGTTTCGCGATAACTTCTGGTAAACAAACGGTTATATACCAATCAGAAATCGTTCTCCGATCTTCTAAAGCAATTGTCACATCGCCAGATTTTGATACAAAAGTTTCGAATTTTCTTGGACAAACTTTGAGAACCGATTTGCGTTTATTTTCCTTAAGAGCTTGTCTCCACAGTTGCAGTTTTTGTTCTAAATCACTTTTAGCATTTTCAACTAACATTAACGTCACCAGCATAATATATTAAGCACCTGGGAATAAAATATCACCATAAAAACAATCACATAGTACTAAATTGGACGAGCATCATACCTAAGATCGCCACTCATAAAATTATAGTTCGGAACTAATTGGTATTGGTATATTTAATGCTAAATCAGAATCAGTCGAGTTCAGTAGTTAAAATAAAGGGTTCATTGCTATTCTTTGTTTCAAGTTAAGAAAATAACATTACGCTTATGGAGATCAGTGTTGCCAAAACTCTCAGACACTCTCTTTTGCACGGATGTCCAAGATATTCCCTTTGCTTAATTTTTGAATTTTCATTTTCAATTAACATTTAACTGTAAAGTCAGAATAACTACTAAATAAAAGCCTTATTATCATTATGTAGTCAGAGAACGACATAAAATAGCTGACATACGCACATCGTATTATTTTAAGTTGCAATTAGTAATTAGATATACGCATTCCAAGTGGTCAATATTTTCTACTGATTTCTATGATTCATGGCAAAGCGTATTCTCACCGAAAAACAAATAAACTGTCGTTACTATAATTAAAATAAGATAAAATAAAATTATCTTTTGTAAATACTATTTATCTAATTAAAATCATTTTCCCCACTTTTCATCTCTTGTTTCGAATGGGCACTTTTGGTCAATTACGTTAAAAAACATTAATTTAATTCATGTTTATGGAAACAAAAATACAAATTATACAACCCTAAATTGTGCTTGTGTGTGTCGTGGCAACGCCGCGTTGCTATCGTCCATAAGAAATACATGGCCCTATCTCCGCAATGTTATTTTCTAAACGTGGAACGTAGTATAGACAGAATCTTAGACTTACAAGAGTCTTCGTTTAATATATTCTCAGTTTCGCTTTTATATTGCTTTTACATATTATTTGAAGCGAATTTTAGTATTCTAGTCATTACCCATGATTTGTAATAACTTTAATTATAGTTTTAATAAAAACTTTTATATTTACAGAATCATGCTGTTACCCCAAGAACCAAACAAAGGTTGCGTATTTTCCGCAAGCAGCGATAATATTAGTATTATTTAGTTTTAACACTGTACTTTTATGACAGTATTTTTTTATTTTTATATTTTTGTATAAATTTGTCTAACAATGCTTTAATATATTTTTAATAAACTGTTTCTAATTAGCTTGTTTTTTTTTTTCTTAAAAAAATATTTTAGCAATATCACTGTTACAATTGTTCAAAAAGAAGTTTTAATAATAAATAGAAGAGAAGAGAAAATTAATTCCCAAATCAACTCGAAGGTTCCAAACGGGACTATCAGTTAGTTCAAAAATGGTTTTAAAGCAACTATAGAAAACATAATGTTAATAATATATGACTTGCGAACGAAATGCAAACAATCGGTAACTTCTTCTCCTTATGGTGCCCTATCCTATTAGTGGATGTTGGCGACAATTCTGGCATACTCCATTCGATCGTGTGTGGCTCTAAAGAATGCATAGGCATCGAGGTTTGTCCAATCCCTTATGTTTTTAAACCATGAGTATTTCTTTCTTTCGATGCGCCGTTTTCTTTCTCTCTTCCCTTCCATAATAAACTTTACGAACTGGTACTTGGAATTTTGAAATATATATCCCAGATAAGCAGTTTTTCTTCCTTTTATTATTGGTAGCAAATCTCGTTCTCTGCCCATTTGATTTAATACTTCGACATTTGTTGTGTGATCTGTCCAGGGAATCTTAAGTAGTCTTCTAAATACCCACAGTTCAAAGGCCTCCAATCCAAGCCCAGTCGTTCTCCTTCAGTGTTTATTCTATCTATTAGTCGTTATAGCAGTAATCGGGAAACAAAAAGCTCAAAATTGTCATAAAATCTAATACTGATTTAGCCATTAAGATAAACAGCCTAGTTACTGTAGAATCTACAGAATTGAAGCTCCAAAAAAGTGATGCAACAAATAAACGTCAAGCAGTTATGGAAAGCCAAAGTATAGTCAACAGACTATTAGGTAACACATGCCTAGAACAAATTACGAGGTAAGAAAGTAGGCGAATATACTATTTAAACGAAACATAAATTATTATAAAAATAGAGGATTATGACGTTGATTATCACAAGAGTATGGAAGCTTATATTTTTGAAGATTGGTTTGAAAACTCACTCATCCCAAACTTGAAACCAAGTAGTGAAATTGTGCTTTACAACGCTTCCTGTCATTCAAGAAAGCTCACTAAACAAAAAAAAATTACTGAATTTCTTTACACCAAGCAATTTTACAAATATGCCCTAGAGAGCATTGCTAAAAACATGGACACACTATTGAGACATCCCCTATTTTTGTGTTTTCAGTTTTATAGAGTTAATTTGGTAACAATTAAAACCACTGCTTGCAATACATTTCCTCAATTTGATAAGAAGCTAAATGAGTAATCAAAAGTATCTAATGAGACCGGTCCTGAATATGGTAACACAAATTGTGTTTAGATTTCAGTCCCAAAAAATATAGTGCAGCTACGTTACGGAATACAACAGTGAGTTTATTCTTATTTTATATATCAAAAACATTTCAAAGCATATTGTTTGTAAGGTTAAGTGGCAGCTGAAAGACCTGTTATCACAATCATTGCTGGTTCTATAACTGATTTAATTAAATACAAATGAGTTCATCCAATGATATCAGATCCGACCTAGAAAATTTGTCAACAGCCATGACTGATGATCAACAATCTCAAAACAAAACATCATACTCTGCTGTGTTTAATAATACTTCAGTTCAGTTGAATCACGCAATGTTATTTAATGCGTTACCCGATACTCAAATAGAAAAGTACTTAACAGCTCTTGGTGAAGTTGTTCGTGCACGAAATATTTTATTTTCATCAAGACTATCAAATTCTATCTTTCCAGCTAATCCTTGGTTGAAAATTTTATGTCCAATTCAGCAGAAATAACAATAAAAGACGAAATTCTAAAAGCACGAATAGTAGCTCGGAACGAAAAACTGTTACTATCTAATGTTTACCCTTCTATTCCACACACTCTAATAGAAAATTAGTCAATTACATTGGGTCTTAAATTAACGTCACCGTTAACTTTCCTTAGAATAGGGAGTCCTATACCTAGCTTCCAGAATTGCAACACGGCTTCAGTTTTAAAAGACGTAACATATATTCAACCACTTGTAGATATAGACCTACCTTCTTCCTTCTTAATTACATATAAACAAACATATTTTGAAGTTAAGATAAACCTTCATGTTTTATCTGTAAGCAAACATATCACATTGCAGCAAATTATTCAAGAAATAATCCACATAACGATTCCACTCTTATCGATCACCAACCACAAGAATCCTCCCAGTCTAGAGTGGGGCAATTGTATGCACTGACATTGGGGCTTATGGATTTTTGTAAGGCCGTATATCTTTGGAATCCGAGATGATTCAACAGATAAAATTATTTGTCAGGTTGAAGAAGCTATTTCTCATCTTCCTTCCGACCAAGCCGAAATTGACAGACAATATGTTGCCAGAATTCTCCGTACTTCCAAACCCCCACCGTTCAATATCAGTCTTTCAGAAAGACGTGCCCTCAAAAAACTTAACAACCCTGACATTGTCATCCTTCCGGCCGACAAAGGTAATGCCACCGTCATTCTCAACTCTTCTAATTATTTAGACAAAATGTTCGAACTTCGCTTCGCTTCGTTTAGCAGCGCAATTGCTCTGTGATTAGAGGATTCACATTTCTATTATAAGCTGCTGTAATACCATTATGGTATCATGGCCACCTTTATATAGTTCAGCAGGGTGATTTTATCCCTGGTGATTTGTTTGTAGCTAGGTTTTTAACTGCATCTTTACTTTACAAAACATCTGCCACGAAATCCAACATTCCTTGAAATTTTATTTAAATCTTCAGTTAGCAAAATGGTAATTTAAAAACCGGAATGGAAATCAAAGGGATATTAAAAGAGTTTAATGAGATATTAATATCAACAAAACGTTTATTTTTTCATGTTTGTTTACAAATTTCAACAAAAAGCAAAATATTGCTATACAGTACAGTCTTCAGTATATAAAATAATTAAGGAATCTAAGTATTCTACACATAACCAAAAAAATATATATAGAAATATAAAATATTACTCGCTACAATGTCTTATAAGTTGTCGAGTTTTATTCAATGTTCTGTGCATATTTTTAAAATGGAGATGAAATGTATGGCACAAACCACTAAACAGTCTCATTAAAACGATTAAACTTACTCTCGAGTAGGAGTCGAATTTTAGCTGAATATTTGCTACTAGGCATATAATTATTTTGTTCAATAATACTCACTTTTTAACATATTCAGAGTAAAAAATGTACAATAAATTATGTGATAATGAATTAAAGTAATTTTTCATTGAAATACAAAACGGGAATATGAAGGTTGTTCGACATTAAGCTAGCCTTCGATAGATGGCGCTATACGAAAATTAATTTTTTAAAACAAAGAATGCAAAATGTGGGATAGATATCCTGACTGTTTGATTCTTTTCGATAAAAAAAATGTATTAAGCCATCTTTGTAAGACATGATAGTGCAATATATTCAATTAGCAATAAACTACTTCAATTTTTTTAGAACGCAGTCTACTCTTCGAGGATAATATTAAAATATATATAGTCATAGTGCAAAGCTTGTAAATACAAATATTTTTTAAGATTTAATTTTGATATGGGGAGACAGTTGGACCTAAAATGAAAGCAACGACGGATGCTTGCGCAAAAGTGAACATTTCAACGAGAAGGAAAAATAACATTCATTCATTCATTCAAAAATAATGAGATTAATTTAGTAACTTATATTTTTATGTATTATTGTAAATGTGATGACTATGAACAAAATGAAGGTGATTTGATAATTTAAAGCTATCGAAAATAATCTCGTTGAAGTATATACATAAAAACAGCGCGCGCAGCAAACATTCAGCATTTTGTTAAAAAAACGAAAAATGATTCTTCAAAAACCCTAAACTAAATATCTCACATCCAATTCTTAATCAAGTCTTTCTTATTGACTTTGCCCATGGCATTTTTTGGTATACTAGCAACAGTTTTAACAACACTTGGTATCCAATAAGGAGGCATCTTATCTTTCGCCCACTCTCTAACTTCCTCTAAAGTTAAGTCCTTTCCTTCCGGTAATACAACTGCGGCTACAACTCTTTGGCCCCATTTATCATCATCTAGACCTACAACAACGCATTCCAAGATATCGGGATGTAGTAAAAGTTTGGTTTCTATTTCTAGGGCACTCAGCTTGTATCCGCCCGATTTGATTATGTCTACAGATTTTCTTCCTAGTATTTTAAATTCTTTATCTTCGGCTGAGTATTCGGAAACGTCGCCGGTTTTGAACCAACCGTCACTGGTGAACTCTTTTCGAGTGGCTTCTGGTCTGTTGAAGTATTCTTTGAAAATACCGTCTCCTTTCAAGAGTAATTCCCCTAGAAGAATAAATAAATATATAGAGAATACAACTGAAAATAGTACACAATGATATTTGGTAATACTTGTTAGATTTTGGGAAAATGCTGAAACATGTCGATTTAAATTCCAAAAGAAGGAAATTTTTAACGCCTTACAACGCCTAAACGTCACACAAATACTACATTAAAAATAAGAAATATACCATGTATACTGATCCATGTTTCTTCCATATTAACTCCATGTTGCACTCCAGATTGCTGTGTATCTTTTCTGCTGTCGTGACTCTTACATTTGATCCTGTCCATGCACTGAACTTTTCAGTCTTTAACATTCACTGTTCTTATATCATCTAGATAGTTATCCTTCTGAGCATATCTGAGTGTGAACGCACCTTTAAATGTCCTCTCCATTCTCCCTATCTTGTTACTTCTCTTACTTAGAGTCTTGCTTCTCAGCAGGTTTCTATTCATTCTACATGTATTTTTGACATTCAGAATTCTTTCTTCCTGTACTTTCTTTTCCGTTTTTTTTTTTGAGTTTAGAGCTATTCCGGTCCCTAGTAGAATACTACACGTGCACCCTGGGTATCGCTAAATGAACTAGCAAATACTGGCGGTCAGATAATCTGAGAATCTCCTGACTAGAGACACATTGCAAACAATGCCATTAAACGTTATTAGAAGGCAAATTACCATTAATACAAATGACCCTTCTCAGGACCTAACTGCTAGAAAACTCGGACCTATGATCCAAATTTGTCACTTAAATGTAGAAAGCATATGCTATTCAAACGTCGCCTCAGCCAGTACTTATCAAAATTTCTAAAAAATAATGACATCGATCTGGTCGCTCTACAGGAAACACATTGCGAAACGAAAAAACAACTGCGAAAGAGGGGGAAAATACCTGGCTTCGAACTACTGGGTGCTACGTACCATCGATCATACGGCACAGAAACGTACGTTAAATAAAACATAGAAAACGGTGTCTTTGTTTCCACGTGTACTAATGATGAAATTCGCAATGTTGTTGTAAAAATTGAAAGCATCACCTACACCTACACTTACAAACCATCCTGGCCAGCTCAACTCATCCACACACATCTGCATTCGTCAATATACTTGGGAGACTACGACAGTCACCATGGGCAGTGGAAATATAAACAATGGGAATGCACTAGTAAAATGGGCGGAGGAGGAACATCTGTCACTTAAGTTTGATGCTAAAGACCGACCTACATTCATGTCAGCAGCACGGAAGAAAGAGTACAATCCTGATCTATGTTTTGTCTCTACTAATAAAACCGGGAAACCTCCAGCAGTCTCTCGAAAAGTAATGGACGACTTCCCACACAGCCAACACCGCCCAGTGATCTTAGAGGCAGGAACCCAGATTCCTATAATCACATCCATCCTTCGCTCACGGTAGAATCTAAGAAAGCCATGTGGGGTAGCTTTTCTGCGGAAAAAGACAAGACTCTAGGCTGGATACCCCCTACCATCAGAAATTACAAAAGATTGGAGCCGTAATAAGCACGGCTAAAAATCATATTCTAAATAGCTCCAGACAGAACTAATTTTAGACAGATTAAATTTAGAATAGCTCGAGACAGAGACAGTTTCGCCATGTTAATCGCCAACGTCAAGGGGACTTGATAGGGCACGTTAAGAAGAAGAAGAAAAATCATATACCAAGAGGCTACCGAAAAGAATACATTCTCTGTTGGTCCCATAACAGCGAAGAACTGTACCAAGATTTTCCATTTTTATAATCTCTACAAACTTGGAGGTAAAATCAGTTGCACCTGGAAGCTTCCGCGGACATTTTTTTCTCCACTTACGTGTGCATAATTAGCTCCGTGATGTGCCTTCCAGCGAGTCAGTCAACCTTCACTTACAATAAATTCGCATCCGTCTATAATTTTACTGTGTACACATAAAGCCTTTTCCCTTAGAATCGGGCCGCTAATAGGTGTGTCCTTTCGCCGTTCTTGAAGGAACCACAACCAAAGAGCTTCACCTACTATCTCTAATTTCGTATTTTTTTAGTGCACATAGTTTGTAGATTTTTATCTGATTCCATTTGGGCGCAGAAATCCTCGATTGAACGCCGATCCCTTCGCCAATCATTCACTGTACTGTTCCCCACCTTCAACTCTGAACAAATTTTCTTTACCGATTCACTTTTGTCGATCCGTTTAAACACACTTAGACGTTCTTCCATCGTCACAACCACACGTTTAGCTCACTCATTTTCGCACAAGACGAATTCTTAATCGAAACCAAAAAGAGTACTGAAAACAAGAAATCAAGCGGCGCTTGATGACCATCTCGTACGCCAAACAATAGGAAGGGGGAGAGGCCAGTTAATACGACGGCCGGTTAATGCAGGACCGGTTAAGAGGGAGTCTACTGTATTCAATTTGAAATCAAAATCGACATGTTTCAGCATTTTCAGTGGATATCTCCAAAATTTTCACATTCTTGGTCTGAGACAATATGAACGTGGCAGTGTTATTATCTGTTCGAAAGTTACTTTTGAATATATAGAAAATTATATAATATTTTAAAGAAATCCCAAATAATATTTGAAATGATTATGGTTTACCTTTGTGATTTTCACTTTTGTTTATTTTTTTAGTAAATTCTAATTCTCCATCAACATTGGTACATTCCAAAACAGTATTGGTTTCCCCAGTTTCTTCATTTTCCTCAACAATTCTAGCGGATACTCCTGGCAGTGGTACGCCTACGTAACCGGGTTTTCTTTGTGAATCATACAATTGTGATAAAACCATTCCACATTCAGTCATTCCATACCTAATAGTAATAAAAAAAAATGGAACATAATTATACGTACAGTAAAAGAAAAGTTTAAAAACTAGCAGGCATGGAAATATTCAGTTTACAGCAGTGATATTTTTCCGTTTTATTATTTATTTTTTCCATTTTCAAACGAATTATAGTACAGTTTTTATCAAGCAATGGGGAACACGGAAAATACATAAACAAGCGAGAAAAGGAAAAGAACAATTATTTAAAAAACTGGACGGAAGGACCAAAAGGCACCTCATCCTACCACAAACTATTCATTTAATACACTTCTTATAACGATTTTTTTCCGTGGCCCCGATATTATCTTCTCCGTGTTATATTAAGGTAAATTGTGAAAAAGTTTTGAGGAAGCTATAGTCGCCAAAGATTTAACCATAAAATTTAACATGTGCTTATGATTTTTTTATTTAAATCTAGATCTAAAACTAAATGCGTACCTTTGTAGTAATTGATGCCCAGATATCTCCTGCCATCTTTGGTGCATTGTAGCCGGCATAGGTGCCGACCCACTTATCATCAGTCTCATTTTGGTTTTTAAAGTGTTTTTTACATATTCTACCATCTTCGGGTCGTTTTTAAATACCCTTTCAAACTCTTCAATAAGTTTGTAATATATCGTCGGTACCGCCATATACACAGATATCTTTCTATCTTCTGGTTTTGCATTAATACCCAGCATATAGGACCAAACGGTGTTAGCGTTGAATTTCTTTAACATGATCGCTTTGGCTCCAACGTACAGGGGACACAGAAGAGCGTTTACTATGCCGTGGATGTGATTGAGCGGTAACGTGTGTAGTATTACATCGTTCGGGGACCATTTCCAAGCGTCTACTAAGGTCGTTATTTGATATTGAATGTTCTTGTGAGAAATAACAACACCTAAAAGAAAATACAATTCAGTACTAAATATATAAAGTATATTTAAATATTTTTTACTATCAGATATCAAGAAACTGGTAGACTTATCAAGAAACGATACAACAAGTTGTAACGATGTGCTGAACGTTCAATAGTTCGAACCGTGGGAGTGTCGATACTCACGCATCCATTTCCATGACGAGACGACGAGATGGGGTCCGGAGCGGATATTTAAAGCAAGCAACTGGCGGAATTAAATAAGTCTTGTGGCTAACGCTCTAGGCTCCCTGGCTCGCTGGTGTATTGAATCTGCGAGCCGACCCGGACAAAGAGACTTCCGCAGTGAGGATTATACTCTGTCCTTAATCAAGCAGAACCCGTGGGTATGTGGATTGAACGTTACCGTCAACGTGGATCTGCACAATTGAATATTTTGATTGCAAGCGCGTTTGGCGATTCCGCTGGACTGAGGTGGAAGCGAGTATAAGTCTGCGTACGATCGAATTCACGTATTTCATTTTTTGTTAGTAATAATATTTTTTTTTTCTTTTACAGACGTCCGCCGGGGAATTCACCCTCGCGGGATCCAGGCGGGGATACAGAATATATTTTATTTTTCTTTTTGTACATACGTTAGAATTAATAGAATTATTTTTATTTCAACCTGTATTTTACTAAGTCTGTCGCTTCGAAAGAGCTACCCGTCACAAAGTCTAATATTAGAGAACTCTGCAAACAAAAATTCTTAATTCGGTCCCCAGAATCCCAGAATCTGTTCAAAAATTATCAATTAGATTATACTAAAGTGTTTTCTTACCTTTAGGAGAACCAGTTGTTCCACTTGTGTATAAAATTAACGCATTGTTTGAATCGTAGAACTGAGTGGGCAGTCCTCCTTCCAAATCGCTCTGTGTATATGTTGTTTTTTGGGCACAGTTCAGTTTCATTTTCTCGTCCAGTACATGTAACTTACTGTTCGTGTTTATTGAGACGACTTTCTGCATGAGTTCTGAATATTCTGGAGCGGATATTAACAGTTTTGAGTTGGAATCATTAGCGTAGTAAAGAAGGACGTTCTTCGGGTGCAGAGGGCTTAAAGGAACAGCTGTAACATAAAAAAAAGAGTAAATAAAGCAGAATCGTACAGAATAATATCGTTGTTACCAATTATCTCCAAATTATTTGAAAATATATTGGTAATAAGAATTCAACCTATACTCGAACTCGACCACAAAGAAATTATTCCTTTCCGCCAATTTGGATTCCCCAATAAACACTCAACAACGGAGCAAATATATCACATAACAAATATTATAGAGAGATCTTTAGAAGAGAATAAAATGCGCTCAACTATATTCCTAAATATAGCAAAGACAAAAATAGTATTTTAAAATCATGTATAACACTAAGAACAAAAATAAAGCTGTCTATTTTTAAAATTCATGGGAACCTTATTTTACGAAAGACCCTCGTATGTTTTTATCATTAAGAAAAATTTTGATTGTTATTGTTATAAAGTAAATACCGTAACAAACGAGCTCATTTCGACATACCCCATATAACGGTTACATCTCGAGATGATGACTGCGTTCCAGAATGTTATGTGGATCCAGTGGATAAACGCCTGGAGGAAATCGTACGAAAAGTAGTTCATAACACGATGCTGAACAGATGCGAACCCAGATGTTGGGATGGTGGCGACGTAGGTCACTTCCGCCGTAAATTGCAAGAATAAAATACAACAGTCAGAAAGCTAGAGCAGATCGGCTGGAAAAAGTCATTCAAATGCTGATGCTCAGTCAAGATGGCCAGGCAGTGCAAATTGTAATCACTGTCCTAAATTAGAATGATCAATGGCAGCCTTAACAGCTACAAGACGTCCAAGCGGATGATCCATGTCACAGAAACCTTTACTTCCAAGCCATGAAGTAGAAATTTGGCAACAACGCGTGGTAGTCCGACTGTGGTTTGTTTTGGTTTAACATTTCATATAGGAAGGCTTAGTTAGAGGTTTAACATTTCATATAGGAAGATTTATTGTTTTTTTTAACTTTATTCGAATGTTTTATTTGTAAATTGTGTTTAAATCAATTAGAAAATATTAATATAAGTGAAATTTCATTAAATTTAGAACTTTTAGAAGATTGTTAACGACAATTTAAAAGGCAAGTATAAATATAACCTACAAAGCAAACTGAAAATAATAATACTTTTGCTTCTTGTTACAAAATATGTAAACTAAAAACAACAATAATAATACTTTTGTTTTTTGTTACAGATGCTCTGGCATTGTTGTGTACCTGGTTGCAAAACCAATTATGCCAGTACTTTAAAAATGAAACAGGCAGAAAGTATGTTTTTGTTTCCCAAAGATCCCCAAAGAAGGTATACTGGGTTATGCTCTATTCATAGAGAAGGCTGTACAATTACCAAATCTTCCGTAGTATGTGCCAAACATTTTCATGAAGATGATATTCAGCGGACTGAACAATGAGAAGATAAAGATGGAAATGTACACATTGAAAAGTTAATATTTACCAAATTAAAAGGCAATGCAGTTCCTAATATATTTTCTGAAGTACCATCATATGTAACTGTTCATCGTACTAAAGAAAAAAGGAATCCCGAAGACAGAAGAAACTTTTTGCATAAGAAGAGGGAACAAGAGATAACATAATTATGTCAATTAGACTTAGACAATAATATCCCATTGAAAAACTGGACAAGTAAAATTACAAGTGACTGTGTATATTTCTATGTATTAAACATTAATCAGTTGGGACACAAGTGTGATAATATTTGTGTAATGTGTAGTGTAATAGTTAGCAGTAATTTTAGTGTAATTGTCAATGTAGGTAAGAATAGATTAAGTGGTAATGATTTGAAATGGATTTTACAATATAGTAAATTAACAAGATGCTCACAATTAGAGAACTTACTTTCTCATTTAGATCTGCTTTTTATATAAGTGATAACAAATTTGAGTATTACATTCAAAAATCTTTTGAGAATATAGGCTATTTTAAATCGATATACAAGTTATAAATGGTATGTTACATTCAACACATTTTTCATGTATACCTCTTTTAACTTGGTCTATATGACAACAAACCTATTCATATTTAAAATTTGTTTTTAATTTAACTGTTTGACACTGTATTTTAAGTGCAATAAATTTTACTCTAGTGATTATTTTATTGATAATATAACCTAAATAATAATAAAACTTTATATATATTTACTAGGTATATATAAGGTTTTATTAATTTAATTTCCCTAAAAATATTTCTGTAATGAATTGAAGTTTTCAAAATATCAGTTTCCTAAAATTCAAATTAGTTTAATATTCTGGTAGACCTTACAGCTGATTATCGGACTACCGACGTCATAGAATGCGGTGTTGCCTTTTTTACTTCATGGCTTGGAAGTAAAGGTGGCTGTGTCCATGTATAAAAAGAGTGTAATATTGGATGCATCGAAGTGAGAGACCTACTTCGTATGCATCGAGAAGACATTAGTGCATGTAGTCCAGAATTCAAGTCTTACTGGAGCCAATGGAATTGCCTGGTGCTAAAAGATGATCTTCTGTATAGAACCTTTGAGAACGATGATGGTACAGAGTCTAAACTTGTAAAGTGTCAGAAGTATTGCGTCAGTTGCATGACGGTGCATCAGGTGGATATTTTGGTACTACGAAGACTCTGTAAAATGTTCGAGATCGGTTCTATTGGGTGAAATGTAAAGATGATGTAAGATGGTGCCGGAAATGTGAACTGTGTGTAACCAGTAATGGTCCAGTTGGTAAAAAGAGGGCACCCATGAAACAGTACAACGTTTGTAGTCCTATGGAAAAAGTAGCAATCGACATTACAGATCCATTTCCAGAGACGAATGATGGAAATAAATATATCCTGGTAGCCATTGATTATTTTACGAAATGTACTGAGGCCTATGCGATACCAAATCACGAAGCTGCCACCGTTGCAGAGGTACTTGTTAAAGAATATTCGTTTTAGCCGATTGGAGATCCAATCCGACCAAGGGCGAAACACCGAATCAACCCTTTTCCATAACGTTTGTAAATAGATTAGTGTCAATAAGACCAGAACGACACCCCTCCATCTTCAATCAGACGGAATGGTCGAGAGGATGATTTTCCATACCATTGCCTTAGATTTTTCAGCCATGATGTTCTTCGTTTACCAGGACCACGATTACCTTGGATCTTTCCATGAATGATCAGATGTAAAAGATCATATTTTTCAGGGTGTCTCATAATGTGACCGAAGTATTTCAGCTTGCGTTTCTTTATTATGTTGACCAGTTGTGTTGTTTGGCTCAGCCATCTAAGGACCTCCTCGTTTCTAACTCTGTCGACCCAGCTTATTTTCAGTAGTCGTCTGTATACCCACATCTCAAAGGCTGTCAAGCGTTTAAGCATAGCCTCAGTTAGAGTCCACGCTTTCACTCCATACAGCAGGACAGGAAAGATGTAGCAAGATGTCATACGAACTCTAAGGTCAATGCTAAGATCGTGACTGCCAAGTACGTTTCTCATTTTTATAAAGGCAGCTCGGGCTTGTTCTATTCGGCTTTTAATTTCTGCGGTTGGATCCCAGCTCTCATTGATATTACTGCCGAGATACACGAGTTTTTCCACTCTGTCCAGTGTGGCATCTCCGACTTTTATACCGTCATCCTGTATATAATTTTGTTTGCTAACTATCATATATTTAGTTTTCTTAACGTTGAGTTTTAATCCATACTGATCACAAGTCTGTTTTATTTTGTTCATTAGATTTTGAAGGTCTTCTCCGCAATTGGCAAGGACTAAGGTATCGTCGGCATATCTAATATTGTTGACGGTTACTCCATTCACAATAATACCTTCGGTTGTCTCCATGAAGGTTTCCTTAAATATTTCCTCCGAATATAAGTTAAAAAGTAAAGGCGACAATATACAGCCTTGTCTCACTCCTCTTTTTATATTTATTTCATCCGACAGTTCTTGTTCAACCTTTATTCTTGCCACTTGATGCCAGTATAGATTTGTGATTATTTGTAGATCTTTATCGTCCAATCCAGCTGTTTCCAATATTTCTAGCATTTTGTTATGTCGGACTTTGTCAAAAGCTCTTTCAAAATCGATGGCACAAATGTACACATTTTGATTTATATCTCTGCATCTCTGTACTAGCACCTGTATACTAAACAAGGCTTCTCTTGTACCCAAGCCACTCCTAAACCCAAATTGAGTATTGTTAATTCTGTCCTCTAACAGCGTGTAAATACTGCTGTGTATTACTCGCAGGAAGATCTTCAAAACGTGACTCATCAGACTTATTGTCCGATAATCACCGCATGTATTTGGACGATGTTTCTTAGGTATTGTGACAAATGTCGACTTTAACCAATCAGTTGGTAATATCCCAGTGTCATAAATTCTGTTAAAGAGATTACACAGAGCTTTAATTCCATTTTCTCCCAAAAATTAGTTAGTGGATTTTAGTGGGTAAGATTATTATGTTGTAAACTTACATTGGGAGAGTTTACTGTTAACTTTCTCAGCACAGCGGACCATTAAATCAAATAGTCGCTAATTCATGAAATACGAGTATACTATAAAGTATAAGCGACCATCTAACAAAGATGTGGCGAAACCCGTACATTTAATACCTGGATGGAGTTAATTTGAATCCTTTGAGGTTAAGTGTTAAAAGTTTCTGTTTACCCAAGTACGGATTCAAGTATAACGTAAATATTATTATAAAGGTCAGATCATAGTATGTTTAATCAAATTTTTTAATTAATATTGAATATTTAATAATATTAAATGTAGAGATATCAACCAAAATAAACAAAATGTGGAATATGATAAAGTTACTACGACTTATTACTCGTTATGTAAGACTATTAAGAAGAATATTCAGCGAAGGTTATCGTTTAAATCTGTTAACAAATACGGTGAGAAATTCTGTGTATCTAAAAATAAATTTGCAAAGATCAATAACCGCACATTTCGCCCTATTGTATTTGCTATTTTTATGTACAACGGTTTATCTAAAATGCTAAACGTTTAGGCATCGTATCCAGTTAAATTTTTCC